ACTTCACCTTCAGATATTTTGGTTGCGGGACAGGTACCAGGAGCTTGTGGGAGCAGTTGTATGAGACTTCCGCTAAGACATACATGTTAGATCTAATGACATGTACTCTCTTTATGAATAAGTCAGGTATTTATATTGATGTTCGTATATGTGTCTGTTCAGTAACCTAGAGACCCCATATTGGGCTTAAGGAGTAACGACATTGACCATGCTCTATACGACACTTGAAATTGCGACTTTGCGTGAGACCAGACAACTTGCTGATTATTTGAGTCTATTACAGATAACAAGCATTTTTAATTCTTTTTTATTTAATTGTTGTATGTGATATTAATTAGTTTCTATTTATTCAGTGTTAGATATACGAGGATTTCCCCTACATCTATGATAGGAGTGTGCAGCGTGGAGATAAAAGGGCGGGCAAACGGTTCATGGTGGTATTGCGGAGTACATGAGGAGGTTTGATACTCTGACAGTATATGATATCGTCTGGACACCGTACACAGCTCACTGGGTTCACCATACATTTGACGATGTTTTTTTATATTCAGGACATATGAGGTGGGAGACCTATATTGTTAGACACTTGTTTGAGAGGTGTCTGCAACATTACGATTATGTCCAAGGCATCCTTCGACCAATTCTAGAGGCTCCAGAAGGGACATTGACAGATGATTTTAGAACAACATCATATGTTTTGTTACCTGGAGTGATGGCTCACTATAAAATCCTAGATACTACCCGATAATTATGGACGTTTCAGCATATTGATTATGCCATCGATACATCTTGTAATCTATGTGTATCAGGTTTTAGATTATTAGGGAGACCGTTAACAATCCCTGTCCACAACAGGAGTTCCAATTGAAGAATTAAGCTCCGTGATGATGAACAAAATGACGAGAGAGAATTAATGAGATGAGATATTATTAGATTTGATCGTACCGTTTCATTCAACACTAAATTGCCGACTTGATAAAGTACTCTAACAATACACGCCCCATAAACACATTCTTGTCCTCAACGATGAAAATTAGGATACTTATTGAGTAAATCATAATAAAATTCCCATGTTACATGTTCTGTGGGCACATCCTTCCATTTCACCAAGACTTTAGTAGCAGCCAATCTTCCACGCTTGACCATTTTGCGATCGATAACAGCTTCAGGTTCCAAAACCAAATCAGAAAAAGAAGAATAAGGGATTGGGACAACGGGAACAGTAACAGGATTTGGACAAAGTTTCAATTGGGACACATGGAAAACAGAGTGAATTCCATTAGTTGGCGGCATGTCGAGTTGATAAGCAACATGTCCAATACGATCAAGCACCTTAAAAGGACCATAGAACTTGGGACGAAGTTTGTGATAATTATGATTGCGCACCGAAAGCTGTCTGTAAGAATGCAGCTTCAAATAAACAAAGTCGCCAATGGCAAAAACGCGATCACTGCGCTTTTTGCTGGCCTGCTGTGTGATTCTGTTTTGGGTACGAAGGAGCTGAAACTGAAGGAGTTTAATGACCTCCTCTCGAGCCGATAAGGTCCTATCCACCGAAACTGAAGTGGATTCCCCAGGAAGGTAAGGAAGATGCAATGGTGGAGCTTTACCATATACAATTTCATAAGGAGTGGACTTAATTGCAGTGTGGAAAGTCATATTGTACTACCATTCCGCTAACGAGAGCCATTGAGACCAAATAGAAGGTTTCGACGAGAACATGCAACGGAGGTAAGTTTCCAATCCTTTGTTAACAATTTCCGTTTGTCCATCCGTTTGAGGGTGATAGGCAATGGATTTGTTCAAATGAACCCCTTGCAGTTTGAAAAATTCATTCCAAAACTCACCGATGAAAATAGGGTCACGATCACTAGTGATAGAACTAGGCATCCCATGCAGCTTGAATATATGATCCAAGAACAGTTGAGCCACTTCTATAGCAGTATAAGGGTGAGCTAAAGGAATGAAGTAAGCATACTTGCTCAATATATCCACCACGACCAGAATTACCTGTTTTTCGGCGGAGGAAGGTAATCCCTCTATAAAATCCATACTAATAGCATCCCAAATTTTTTCTGGAATCGGGAGAGGCTGAAGTAAGCCAGGAGAAGCTGCCAGATCTGGTTTAGAGTATTCACAGACATGACAATTCCTCACATATTGTTGAATATACTTAGTCATCCCTTTCCCAAAAAATAGAGATTTGATTCGAGCGGCTGTAGCATCCCTACCGGAGTGACCTCCTGTAGCAGAATCATGCAACCATTTTAAAATAATGGTCTTGACAGTCAAAACATTACCTTGTTGTGCCACGAAAACTTCGGGTGCAATTGCGGTTGATGTTGCAAAGTATCAATCAATTTAGTGAGGAAAGGATCAGTAGACCAAGTAGCCTTAATGTTATCAAGTAAATCCGGTGCAGCACTGTTTAACATCAAAGGAAGTAGTTCAGCCCCGTGATTGCGAGATAAGGCATCAGCTGCATTGTTAGTACTCCCTTGCTTGTATTGGATCTCAAAATCAAAGCTCATAAGCTTAGAGACCCAAGCTTGTTGAAACGGAGTATTCAACTTTTGTCTAATATATACTTAATGCTCTTCTGATCGGTTTTTAGGATGAATGATTTATGAGATAAGTAAGTGCTCCATTTTTGAATGGCATAAACCACTGCTAACAACTGCCTCTCATAAATAGACATGTCTTGTTGCTTAGGACCCAAGGATTTGCTAATATAAGCAATAGGATGGTGATCTTGCATGAGGACCGCACCAATTCCTTTTCCGGAAGCATCAGTTTCCACAACAAATTGCTTAGCAAAATCAGGTAAAGCCAGTAACGGGGCAGTAATCAATGCCTGTTTCAACAAATAGAAAGCTTGGGTGGACTCTTCAGACCAAGAAAAAAGAGTCTTTCCTAACATGTCAGTGAGTGGCTGTGCAATCCGACCAAAATTCTTAACAAATCTTCATTAATAGCCAGTAAGACCTAAAAACCCACGCAATTGTTTCAGAGTTTGAGGTTGGTGCCACTTGCTTACTGCCTCAATCTTCACAGGATCAGTAGAAACTGTTCCATGGGAAATCAAATGGCCTACATACCCCACAGTGTCCGTAGCAAAGCGACATTTATTTCTGTGAAGAAGCAACTGGTTTTGTCGCACAGTCTCAAAAATCAGTTGTTCATGAGCTATAAACTAAAATGTCATAAAAAAAGATAGACAAATTTTTGCAAAAAACTTTGGAAAACGTGATTCACGAGGGATTGAAAAGTAGCGGGGGCATTTGTGATCCCAAAAGGCATGACTAAGTATTCAAAGTGACCGCCGTGTATTTTAAAAACAGTTTTGTATTTGTCACCAGCCGCATTCAAACTTGATGGTAACCCGACCGAAGATCCAGTTTGGAAAAAATAGTTGCACCCCCTAATTCATCCATTAAATCGTCTATCAAAGGAATGGAAAATCGATCTTTAATAGTACTTTGGTTCAACCTGCGGAAATTAACACAAAGTCGCCAAGACCCATCCTTCTTTCTGACCAAAAGAGTAGGTGAGGCAAAGGGGCTGTTACTATATTGAATAATGCCTTGCTCCAACATATCAGCGACTAATTTGTCCACTATTTTTTTTTTTAAGCACAGAGTATCGATAAGGGCGTAGGTTAAATGGAATAGTACCTTCCATAACCGGAATTTATGATCAAACCCTGGCCTAGAGGGTGGCAATTGGCAGGTACTTCAAAAATCCTCATAGGCAGCCAACAGATTTTGAATCTCCAAAGGAAGAGCAGGGGCTACTGTGTCGGCAAATAGTAATTGGCAAGTAGGGATAATCAACTGAGGATTAGGATCATCCATTGCTAGGAAGCACAACTCAGCACCCTGTTGAACAGCTAAATTGAGAGCTTCTGCACCACGCAAAGAAAGTTTGCGACCTTTGACATGAAATTCCAAATGCAACCTATCAAAATCCCAAACCACAGGTCCTAGGGATTTCAGCCATTGGATACCCAAAATTAAATCACAACAAACCAATGGGAGGACAATAACTGAGCCACAAAAGATGTTTGTTGCAGGGTCCATTGAAAATCCCTGCAAATGTAACGAGCCTCAAATTTGTTTCCTCCACCACCTCTGATAGATGTTTGTAATAGGTTTTGGATTATTAGGGAGACCGTTAACAAAATGACGAGAGAGAGAGAGAAAATTAATGAGGTGAGATATTATTAGATTTGATCGTACCGTTTCATTCGGTTCACATGGCTTATAAAGATAATTTGGTTACAACCACTTTCACGAAATGTGGGGAATATTCTAACAAAAATAGCCACTAGGCTTCTAGAAATAAACTTCTCTAATCAAAAGTAATCGACACTAAATTATTGACTTGGATAAAATACTATAACACTATGCATAAAACTCAACACCGACCTCTTAGTTATCTTACGACGAAATAATTTCTATATAATTGTCACATTTTCATCGGTCTTCAACCCTTTCATTATTATTATTAAGATGTAGTTGGGCCTAATTCAACCCTACAAAACCGGCTTGTAGGGTGAGGATTGCCCCCACTTATAAACACATGTTCAAGTCATATATTATCTGATGTAGGACTCTTAACAATTATCAATAAAGTCAAAGAAGAGCCATTTTTTGAGATGTCTTTATCCAAAACAATGTTCATATTTATACAACTTTAAATTTATTGTAGTCTACACAATTGTCAATGAAATCACAATCTTACAAAATTAATAGCAAAACCCTAATCATTAAAAATTTGAAGACAATATACTATCGGGAATTTCACCATTCAACTAAATTTCTTATACAGAATAGTAAATCTTGAAATATCAGAAAAAATTTGTAAATTACCGTAAATTTTCTATGAACTACCAGAAATTTTGAACATATCGAAAATTTCAAATATGATAATGTAAATTTCATTCGAGAAGTTTGTTCTTTCTTTTTTCTGATATTATGAATATATGGGGGTTGCCAAGTTTAATTTTGAAGGTGGTAAGCTAAATACACCAACTCAAAGCACAAGAATTTTTGTTTGGCCAAATCCAACCGTCTACACCTTACATGAGACTTTCTCCTTTTTAATCTGTCAGAAGGAAATTGTAAAATTAACAATAGATTCTACAATTCATACAAAAAATTCTAGAGTTAAGTAACAAGCCGTTTATGACTAATACAGTGAACTGGGTAACTGATATTTTTTCTACACAGAAACGTCACTGGCTTTTTTCTCCAATGGTAAGCGTTCTATATCCTGGAATGATTAGTTATAGAAACAGTAGCTTGATTGCAAAAGATTGAGGCGAAAAGCATAAGCAAAAGGGTAGATGAATTGCCTGCCGAATAGTATACTTAACTTTAGTCAGAAATCACATTGACTCACCTTAATTTCGGTAAAACCTCTGATACCAAACATACAGTAAAATACATCTCATTGGCAATGATATCTTTTTGTTGTAAGATAAAAAGGCATTCAAGCCTTTCTGTACAAATATACTTCTGTTATGTTAGCAAAATACAATGAAATGAAGGACCTTAAAGCTACAATTTTAGTGCACATGAATCCCTGAAATCCCATAGAAGAGTATATATTTATATTGCACATGCATTGTACATATATGAATCTCCGAAACCCCAGTCTGTAGCTCCCGGTAATCTAAAACACAACCGATTTGGGGAATCACTGTCTCACGGTGATCTGGAATTGGAAGATAATCCACGGAGTTATTATTTGTCAAACCATATTTCATATATTCAGATAAAGCTGGTGCTCACTCCTCATTTCTGTATCACACAGGACACAAGCACTTCCAGTGATACCATCCAGACAAAATGGCAAGACTAACAAACCCAAAAACATATAGCCAGTAGATGTACCTGAAATAGATAATAGTATAATACTAATTAATATTTAGAAAATAATTTGCAACGAAACATTACAGCACTTATTAATTACAACTATCTAGATTATAGATTAGACATTATACAAAGATAACAAATACAAATCACAATACTTTGAGGAAAAGAAATTTGTTACTACATTTACAAATAGAGAGATACCCAAAAAATAGTCTCAACCAACTTTACCTCTTTCATGTCATTCATAAAATACGCTTCAATTAAAATGCTTTTATTTTTCAAACAACCATTTTATTCCCATTGAAGAGATTCTTATGAAGAACAAATTGAGAAATACTAAACAAAATTACTTTTTTATTATACTAAAAAAATAATTACAGTTAACTAAAATTCTTAATGTGAGTTTAAGTATTTTTGTTTAAAGCCGAGACCAGTACGAGTACCATTCCAAAATAAATGTGACAATATTGACAGGTTTTGCTAAAAAATGTCTTCACTCAATACTGTGACTTCGTGAGCATTTAGATTTAAATAAAACAATGTCTATAACAACGAAAAATAAACCAAGGGCAGCTTGTTACCTTAAAAGATTTCCTAAACAATTATGCTTTAAGGTTCTTTAAAAAAGTGATCCTCATGAATCATTAGAAAATTCATATTAATTGCTATCTTTCCCTTGAGATATCTTGATCACAGACAAAATGAACAGAAACAAACTTTGGAACCGCAGTAAGAAACAACGGGATGAAGACTTTGTTAACCACGACAACTAAATAGGAAATAGTTTTTAGGAAATCATAAATATCTATTGTAAGTCTTACTCAAGTGACACATTGTGGAATCTCACACCTCAGATTCCCACCATTTCCTCCCCACATCCATTGCATGAGATCTTTACTAGTTTGTTTAGAAAGAGATACACAGTCAAGCACATATTCTAGTATTGGAGAAGAAATCAAGTAGTCATAATGAATTATTACCTGGAACAGTTATCACGGGGCAGCTCTCACTGTTAATAATCCACATGCTTCTTCCGCATGCATTGTTATATTTTCTGTTAAGTTTTTGATTTCATATTTTTGCTTTGGTTTATTTTCCGAAGCTGGGGATTTTCTATCGAATACACAAGGAGGCTCCCATCTTTTGTGCCTGCTAAGAAGCATTCTTCTGGAGTTACAGTCAATGATGATAAAACCTTTCCAACCCCATGATATTTCTTAATAACTTCTAGTGTGTTTATAGAGCGAACAACGATCTGCCCCTGGTCACCTGCACCTACTAAAAACTCACCACATTTGCTCAACTGAATAGTGTTGAGACGCCCATTAGACTCGGAGGCAGCAAGGTGTTTTCCATTTATAGAGTACAGGTGCAAACTAAGATCATCATCAGCATAAATAACAATCTGACCATGCTGAGAGACAACTAGTTTTGATATAGGACTGCCTGATGGATGCCGTAAGGACCTGACATATCTACCTTCGCGCAAGGTATGGAATACACATGTTCCATCTTTTGATCCACTAATTATGATATCCAGCTCATGACTAACATATAAGCAAGTTATTATATCATCATGGCCACAAAGGATATGACATGGAGTTTCAATTATGACGGTGTTCTTACGAGGTAACTCAGACTGACTGTTCCGAATTCTCTTTTCTGTTTTACCACGAAAAACTTCCCAAACCATCACTGTGGTATCGTAACTTCCAGTTGCAAGGATACTCCCATCAGATGTAACTGCAGCACAATCAACATTCTTTAGCCAGAAATGAAAAGAAACTAGAAGGTTGAAAATCATCAATTCAAATAAGATTAACAAAAAGCTCACTACAAAATGTTAAATAAAACACTTATGTCTATATTAAAAATAACAGTAGTAGTAGCAATGTTCACATATAAAAACATTATCATTCAATTCATTCAACAAACAGGAACAAAACATTAGAAAAAAATTATCATAATGACTGCAAGTTTGTGGCTTAAGAGGCTAGATAATTCATTAATCTTTTTTGATCAGGCAAGATCACACAAAAGACCAGATTTAAGGGGCACATGCCCCTAGTGAACTCTTATCAATGCAGTGCACTCCAGTACATCAAATGGTATATTCATGGTTATCAGAACAGGAATCAATCTTAACCATGAAAACTACCTGCAATACAGCTCACCACATCCTTATGCTGTCGAATACTTTGCACCATTCTGCCATCGCTTAATGATATCACCTGGAAACTATTTTCCCAATTGCCACATGATATTAAGAAATTCTCGGAGGGCGTCTGCATTGTTGCAAAACATTGTTCTCCATGTTCAACATGTTCAGGAACAGGAATACCAATTTTACGCGGTGAAAGCAATTCGGAACCAACTCCAAAGAAAAGATCCTGAAAAGGTCAGAGGTCATTTCAACATTCATTAGACAAAAAACAACTCTAACCAAAAAGTAAAACACACTACATAATAAATCCAAATGCATTTTAAAGTCTGATTAAACCTAAGCCTGACCTGTGAACCAGAAAATGTAAAATTTCCACCAGATTGCAGTTGAGTTGATAACCACGTCTTAACAGATAAGTTGAGACCCTCGTTCACAAGGATAACATTTGAGTCCATTAGACCAACATACAGTATAGCTGATGAAGAATGACTAGTATTAGAAACAATGGAAGTCAAACTAATGGAATCAGGAGCGAAATACAGAGGACGTGCAATTGGAATTGGTGGCCCTCTTCTTGGGTGTTTCTTGCGAAACATCTGAATTGGGGTCTGACCAAAGTTGGCTATTTGGTCTTCTATAGCAGCTCTTTGCATATCATCTTCCGTCGTTTCAAGATCAACAGCTCCTTCATAAGTTAAGTAGTAGAATATGTTTGCTGCCTACAAAAAAATTTAACAACTTAACTAACCATAACACTTAACAGTATAGCCAATTCTGAATTGCAAGAATTATTGGAAAACAAAAATTGTGGATCTTGATGTATACCTCTACAGCAGGTTTGCCACGTTGCTTGTATCCAAATACCAAATCTATCCAGTGATGAAGATTTGAACTGACATATTCACTTTCAAGGGCCTCCCGGTTTCTCCTAATAAATTCTTCAGGAGAACCCTGTGCAAATTTTGACTTGAAATTAAGTACTACTTGTTTGCTAAATTAGAATGTTATTGCAAGAAATAACTGTTTGACTTTTTCTACCTCGTATAAATATTTCAAAATTTTAAATATATAATAACAAGAGATATATGCACTAGCTGAGATTAACATTTGCCGTATCTTATAGTGTTAGAGAAAGAGAATAAAATAAAAACATAAAAACCTCAAAAATCAGTCAACTTTTATCAAGTGATATACAGTTTAGTCCCTAAAAGATGTTATTTAAGTTGCTTTGATACTCAAAGTTTCTTTTTATACACATTGGTCCCCGGAAACATGAACTAGTTTGCAAGTTACTTAACATATGATAAAAAACGTATGGTGCGCCAAGAGTTTTTTATAATGACGAATGTTAGTATAGTTAGTGTTCAGAGTTTTTGATCGGTCACCATTTGTACTCTGTTTTCAGCAATCAGTAGTCTATCATTTCGGTAACACAATGTTTCATCTTTTATCGTTCTCAGTATTTTATTTTAGTTTTCATGATAAGTGGTTTTGCATTGCATTGATTTGGGAATGCATGTCAATTAGGGTGCTTTTGATGCTTGGTTTGGTAGTGTTAATGTCTCAGGTACGCGGAAAATCTTAGTAACTGATGCGAAGCCGGAGGACATTCCGCGAAAGTTAAAAGTACAAGAACAGAAGCTTGATACGGGTGCCCGTGTCAAGGTGTGCAAATGAAAAACACGAGAGAACAAACAGAAGGCCGACACGAGTGCCCGTGTCAGCAGGCCTGGGAGCAAGAAATTTTACAAAAAAAGCAGAGGGCCAACATGAGTGCCCGTGTCAGCAGGCCTGAGAGCAAGAACCTTTAATAACCAAGGCAGAGGGCCAACACAGGTGCCCGTGATGCCTGACACGGTCCGTGTTGGCAGGCGCGAGATAAATCATATTTTCATTCACTTTAAATGGTTTGAGATCATTAAGGGTAGTTTTGACTTTCCACACGGTTTTGTTGTGACCTGATACTATTTAAAACCTAATTTTGAGAAGCATTTGATATCTTTGATCATAGAGAAGAGAGAATTACAGAAGAAAGAGAGCGAGCAAGGGTTTCGAGGAGGAAGGATCTTCAAGGGCAATCGCAATTGAAGATCAACGGAATCGATAAATCTTTGTAATGTCTACACTTTGTTTTGTAAGCTTTATGAATATTATGAGTAGTTAAACACCCCAATGCTAGGAGGTTTTCCTGAATTGCGAATGTTATGAACCAAATTTCCATTGTTTTTATGATATTGATGTTTTTACGAGTTTAATTTATTGTGCCATGAGTTTAATGCTTTTTCTATCGGATAAATAGTTCTTGATTTAAGGTTAAGGTTCGGTCGAACAAACCACCTTAACGTTGTTTGCACAATAATACGACTGTGAAATCGCTTAGGAATGAGATTTAACCGTAGTGACGTCTTGGCAAACAATTCGAATTGCTTGATATCGCTGTTAATAGCCAAGGAATTAGGATTAAGGATGAATATCAAAAGTTTTCAGTTAAAGAATTAAGGGAAACAACTCTTGAGATTTGGTATTGATTCACTTTCACAATATATCATGAAACATGGAAGAAAGGTGACGACTAAGCAATTCACACACCTAACCTGAGCATGCTTTCTCGTATATTATACACTTTTACTTTTCGTCTTGTTTAATTTGCTATCATTTAATATTATTCTCACACAATCAACAAACCCCTATCTTCTTTTATTCAATTGAGTCATTATAATAACTTATATTTCCTACGCAGTCCGCGAGATCGATATATGGGATTAACTCCTTATTACTACATCGGTAAAAATAATACACTTGTTATTTTCCTATCAGTTCCACATTGAATGTGATACAACCAAAAACATAATATCTATAATATAAATAGGAGGCATCTTTCATCTTACAAGGTGATTTTTTAAGGCTGAATTAGGCCAGCCTAAATTTTAAGATAGCATCAGAGTAGTACCCTACTAGAAGAATGAAAATATTTGAAAAATTCAAGTTAAGCTTACATTGACTAGACATCTGCAGGCAGTCCAATTCATATCTAGGATAGGTTTTACTCTCTTATAATTTTAGCCTAACTCAACCCCAAAATACAGGCGCAAGAAGGCTTATGTTTTTTTAAGGACTAGGTTGACCATCACTTTTAGTAGCGATGTTGTCGATGGCGATGGCGGTGAGCCAAAATCCCGCCATACCTGCCGCTAAAGCGGATTATGGCAAAAAAACCCGCAATATCGACCAATATTTACCATTGCAGCGAACCCATAAACCGCCATGTATATCCGTCATAGTGGCCATGGCACCTCTATTTGATAACACTGTTTAGTAGTTGAGCAATCCTAATGGTTCCAAGATCCAATAGCATTAATTCCTACACTCTCCCATGACTTTGATATTGCAATGCACATTGCTTTACATAGTGAATTTGGAGGCTTCTTGTTTGAAGGAGTTCATGTAACTGTAGGTTCAATATAAACATCTTAAACAAGAGTGAAGTTCCATTAGATGTCTATTGTCTTAGGTAATATTAAGAATATTTGTACGTAGAATAGTCCCACATCGATTATATAGTGTAATTAGTTGTAATCTCTCTAAATATAATAAAGTCTCCGTAGTGCTTTTATAACACATGATTTAACCTAAATGTCTCTTAGTCTCTCCTAATTCAATATGATATCGAGAAATAAGAACCCAATTTGGTTTGTCCATTCGTACCTTAAGAAGTGACAATGCACGTAAATATTTATCCTAACAATTTCAAACTTTTATGTCATCCAATGGTATTCTACACCAAACATCTTGCCCTCATACACCTCAACAAAACGGAATAGCCGAACGCAAAAACCGGCATCTCGTAGAAACCACTCGGACTCTACTTCTCCATGGTATGTCCCTCTCAGATTTTGGGGGGATGCTGTGCTCACGGCGTGTTATCTCATAAATCGCATGCCCTCATCTGTCCTTAATAATAAAATCCCTCATTCAATCTTGTTTCCAAACTCTCCTCTTCACCCAATTCCTCCTCGAGTCTTCGGGTCTACATATTTTGTGCTTAATCTCTCCCCTGGTCTTGATAAACTATCAGCTTGATCACTAAAGTGTCTTTCTTGGTTATCATCGATCCCAAAAGGGTTATCGTTGCTACTCACACACTCTGCAACGATACCTGATATCGGCCGATGTTACCTTCTTTGAGTCTGTGCCATATTTTGCGTCCACCCAAGTCACTCCGGAACCCCTTCAGGAAAGTACTCCCACACCTCTTCCGGACGTCCCATTTCCCATTATTCCCCATCATTCTAGGGAACCTGTCCCACGAGAAACCACTACGGTTGACCCCCCCACTTCTCGCTCACGTCAAACATATCAGCGTCGTAAACCAACGTTTGTCATACCTGTCCCTAAGGTTGTACATGTCCCTGAGGTCGTACCTGTCCCTGAGGTCATTGCAGACTCTCCTCCGACGCTATCGCCATCACCAGATTCGATCCTGCAACCTGAGTCTGATCTTTCGATTGCCCTTCGTAAAGGTATACGTCAAACACGAAATCCTTCTCCACATTATATTGATTTATGTTACCATCGTCCCCCTTTGCAGTATACTTGTTTGTCCTCTTTGTCTTCTGTTTCTATTCCTAAATCTCCAGGTGAAGCATTATCTCACCCTGAGTGGAGGCAAGCAATGATTGATGAAATGTGTGCTCTTCAAAGCAGTGGTACCTGGGAACTGGTTCCTCTACCCACTGGAAAATCTTTAGTAGGTTGTCGTTGGCTTTATACAGTGAAGGTTGGTCCAGATGGTAAGGTTGATCGTTTTAATGCTCGCTTGGTAGCCAAGGGATACACTCAGATTTTTGGGTTGGATTATAGTGATACCTTCTCGCTTGTAGCCTAGATGGCATTTGTTAGACTTCTTCTAGCGATTGCAACCATTCGACATTGGCCTCTTCATCAACTTGACATCAAAAATACATTTTTACATGGTGATCTTGAAGAGGAAATATATATGGAGCAACCACCTGGGTTTGTTGCTCAGGAGGAGTTATCGAATATGGTTTGTAGGCTACACAGGTCTCTTTATGGTCTTAAGCAATCTCCGAGAGCTTGGTTTGGCAGATTCAGCATTGTAGTACAACAATTTGGTATGGTCCGTAGTGAAGCTAACCATTTTATCTTTTATCGTCACTCAGTCCAAGAGTGAATTTATCTTACTGTGTATGTAGATGTTATTGTCATAACTGGTAGTGATGAGTCGGAAATACTCCAGTTGAAACATCTTTCAAATCAATTTCAGACAAAGGATCTTGGTAAACTCCGGTATTTTTTGGGTATTGAGGTAGCCCAATCTAAAGATGGTTTGGTGATTTCTCAGTAGAAATATGCTATGGATATTTTGGAAGAAACGGGTTTGTTGAACGCTAAACCAGTTGATACTCCTATGGATCCAAGTGTCAAACTACTACCCAATCAGGGGGAGCCTCTATCAGACTCGGGAAGGTATAGGAGATTGGTTGGAAAGTTGAATTATCTCACAGTCACTCGTCCAGACATTTCTTTTGCAGTCAGTGTGGTAAGACAGTTCTTAAATTCCCCTTGTCAGGAACACATGGATGTTGTTATCCGAATTCTAAGATACATCAAATGTGCTCTAGGAAAAGATTTAGTGTATGAAAATAAAGGACATACTCAGATAGTTGGATACTCTGGTGTTGATTGGGCAGGGTCACCAATTGATAGACGATCCACCTCTGGGCATTGTGTACTTGTTGGAAGAAACCTTATATCCTAGAAAAGTAAGAAACAAAATGTAGTTGCAAGATCAAGCGCCGAGGCAAAGTATAGGGCCATGGCAATGGCAATATGTGAACTCATTTGGTTAAAGCAGTTGCTCAAAGAACTTAAAATTGAAGAGGCAAGACCAATGACACTTGTATGTGATAATCAAGCTGCATTGCACATTGCTTCAAATCCAGTCTTCCATGAGAGGACCAAACATATTGAGATAGACTGTCACTTTGTCAGAGAGAAGATCGAATCTGGCGACATCGTCACAAGCTTTGTCAACTTTAATGATCAATTGGCAGATGTGTTTACAAAATCTCTGCGAAGCCCCAAAACTAATTATATATGTGGCAAGCTTGGTGCATTTGACTTATATGCTTTAGCTTGAGGGAGAGTGTTGATATTTGTAAATATATAATATTAAGAATATTTGTATGTAGAATAGTCTCACATCGATTATATAGTGTAATTAATTGTAATCTCTCTATATATAATAAAGTCTTCGTAGTGCTTTCATAACACACGGTTTAACCTAAATGTCTCTTAATCTCTCCTAATTCAATAGATGTGATTTGTAATCCTAAATTTTTTGGGTTAAGGGTTTCAGTAATATTAAACGTCGAAATTATCATTACCATTGGGTAGACTCAAATGTTAATTTATAAATAACGTAGTTATTCATCTTGCATCTCTTTTGTGCAAAGCTCACAATATATGTTGTAGCTGTTCAAATGGGTTACTCATGTGGATCTTCAAAGAGAATGTGCGGTTTCCACATTTGTAAATGTAACCGCAAGAAATTTTTAGATAACCAAACTTTGAACTTCAAAGGCCAAATCTGATAAATGTTTGCTGCTAAGATAGATGATTGAAAGTATGGCTCAACGCATACATATTAGTATAATTCTCATAATAAAGACATGCCAATATCAAACAAAATTCCCAGCATATTTAATGAATGTCACTTTTTTTTTTTTTGCATGTTTACATAGTTGATTTTAGGGTATTCACTTACCTTCGACCATGGAGGGAGGAAAACATCCCCAATAGGTTCGCCATCCTGTCTAACTCCTAGATGATAAGAGTTTGAATTTAAGAGAAACTCAGGCATGTAAAAGAACTCGGGTATTAACTCCTTCACATCACTGGTATTTGTAAGGCAATTTCTGAATGTGCCCTCTATGCTTTGAAAAAGTCTGTCAGCGTGATCAAATTTACCCCCCTGACAAAAGAAATTACAAAAATGAATCATGATGCAATATGGGCTGAAGGAAGAAAACTGAGCTAAAAAAAGGGGGAAAAGAAAGAAAATATTAAGGAATTGACAGAAAAAAAAGATTTGACTTGAAAAAAAAATGTTTGTTTTAATTTGGATCAAACCAACATTTATACACCAAAATCCAAAAATACTACTATTCACAAAGGCCTTAATATCATTTCAAAGACCAATTCTCCTAAAAGCTTAAGCTTATGAGTCACCCAAGCATGGTTTATTGTATCCAAAATTAAAAGTCTTTTTTTTATAAAATCACTGGTTGATGGAGTACATACAAATAAGCACCACACTCACTATAAAAGCACTATGCAACACCAACTGTTTATTCTGTAATCAGCCCAGTTATGGCCTGATAACAAGTGGCATATCAGTGGGAATTTCCTCCTTAATTGCGTTCCGGCCCTAGCCGCCTTAATTGCGGCATTTGGCTCGTCTTTGTTGCAACCCCCAACACCTTCATTGTGTTGGGTTTGAAAGGGTGGATTTAATCTCCACATTGCTAAGAGATATGATTTGTGTTGTGTTTATAGGAGGGGACAATCCTCACCCTACAAGTCAGTTTTGTAGGAATGAATTATGCCCAACCCAAATTCTGAGATGGCATCAGAGCCTATCCTAGATCTATGATTAGGCTTCCGCATTTTCCACGGTACGGGCTCATTGAGGCCTGAGCGTGAGGGGGTGCGTTGAAATTTCCGTCTTAATTGCGGTCCGTCCTAGTCGCCTTAATTGCGGCATTTGACTTGTCTTGATTGCAGCCCCCAACACCTTCATTGGGTTGGGTTTGAAGGGGTGGATTTAGTCCCATAATGCTTAGATATATGGCATGTGTTGTGTTTTTAAGTGGGAACAATTCTCACCCTACAAGTCGATTTTGTAGAGATGAGTTAGATCCAACCACAAATTCTGAGATGGTATCAGAACCTATCCTAGATCCATTGTCGGTTTCCCGCATCATCCTTTAAATAACCGCTGGGAATTTAACAATCCTCTAAGAATTATAGAACCTTCTCTCCCAAACCAACCCACATAAAAACAACAGAATGAGAGTTTGTCTTCTCATCCTTATTTTATTTAAAACACACAATAACACATGATTACATTAACTAGGGACTGCTAACAGCACCAATCTAAAAATTTTGAAAAAATATATAGGGATTTATCTATAAAATTTGAAATAATATAGACCCTAATGAGCACGCTTTGAAGCATATACGGACCAATGTGCATAATTTCAAAAATTATAAGGACCAATTTGGATTCACAATTTATAGGGTGAGGAAAGAGTTTCAGGCGATAATTAGAATTCCTTAAAATTAGCTTTAGCAAAAATATATCATAAAATCCTCCGAGTTTATTATCCAAACAAATTTACATTGAAATATTTGAATTACCTCTAAAATTATATTACCTCGTAAAAGTTCTTCATCTAAACACTCTGTAATATAATCCATTGATTTAATAATATATTTTGAATCTTTATTTTATCTTCTCTCTCTCCTTAGTCCTTCACAATTTTGTAATCCAAAAAAAAAATTCACAATTTCAACAATGATTACTGTTAAGAGTCCCACACCACATCAGACAATATATGGTCTGAACATGTGTTTATAAGTAAGGACAATCCTCACCTTACATGTCGGTTTTGAAGGGTCGAGTTAGGCCCAACCCACACATTCTAAGATGGTTATCAGAGCCTCATCTAAGATCCATTGGGTCACCTATCATTTAGTTCCACGCTTCAGACGCAATTCCTGAGCATGAGAGAGGGTGTTAAGAGTCCCACATCAGATAATATATGGACTAAACATGTGTTTATAAGTAAGGACAATCCTCACCTTACAAGCTGGTTTTGTAGGGTCGAGTTAGGCCCAACCCACACATTCTAAGAATTATTTTTATGAAAAATACTTACTGAAAAATGGGGGAAGGGATGATAGTTTCTATTTTTGCTTCTAAATAATGAATTCCAACATTTTATGCTAGACTAAAAGTAGATATCCATACTTGCATCAACTTTGCAATTTTGTCACGCAAATTGAAGATAAACGTGAGAAAAAAAGTGGATGCTTATAATATATCATGTGACAAGATACCTGCAGATTACGGTGAAGGGAGGTAAAAGGCTCCAATCTAAGAAGGTAATAAAGCACAATGCCCATACTTGAGTAATGAGATCCATAGTAGAAGCTGCATCAATAGACAAGCACCAGCACATGAGAGAGTTATGTGTGAAGTGTATCTAGTGAGATAATACTTAAGCATGGCTGCAGTATCAGTAATGGTTGTATGATAAACGTTAACTCCTCTTACACTCTCACCGAGAGCTAAATAAATAAAGATTATAGTGAATCAAGAAACCAACCCTGATAAATTACCTGGGAATATCAGGATCACAGAAGTTACGGTATCTATCTTCAAACACCTAAATGTAAGAAGCATACATTAAGAACAGTGCAATACTAGTAAAAAATATTCCGATCAATATTTCAAGAACCGAAATTGGACAAACCTCAAATCGTTTGGTATCAAGTGCTCCAACAGGCTTTGACAGATCTCGAAATGTAGATGATCTATTGTAATCAAGAACTTCTGACGTGTAATCGGCCAAGACCCAAGGAAAAACAGGATATTGGGTCAAATCATTATAAGATCTTCCCGCAAGTGTGTTGAGAATCATCAAATATTCAAAGTTTGTTATATCCCTTCTCCTCCAGCTTTCTCTGGCAGTTTCTGCCATTTCCTGTGCCACTCGTCGATCAACAAAATTTATAGCTCCGCTCTTGTCCCTTCCACTTCCTTTGGGAAATAAATATTCATTTCTGGTAGCAACTATCAAGTTTCCTATATCTTTTGCATCCTTCTGTGAGGCAAAGTTCAGAAATACTGGGGAAACTGAATCACTGAAGAAAATCTCTATTGCTGTATATCTGAGCAAATATCGGGTCCAATGAACAGCTTTTATCTAAAAAGTAATCAGTCAAAGAATCAACCCCAAAAACAGAAAACAAAATGGGATATTAACCTATAAAATGACAATATTTGAGAAGATAATGAAACCAATAAACTGACCTTAGCCATGCTCCATCTTCGATGGCGTTTAACACATCTCATAAATTTAACAGGCCCATTTCCATTTATTACCTCTACATTACCGATTGTAATTCCCTTCTGAAGATCCATATCAGAAGAAGGCCACTTCATTGATCTTTGCTTTTGAACAGACTTGGTCATATCAGAATTACTGGCATCAAAGTTTCTAAAAACAGATGATCCACCAGTACCTTCTACTAAGAATTGGGCAAAGAAATGCAAAACATTTTTCATGACTGCCAAATGACCAGCTAATTTTCTCTTAGGAGTCACAAGAACACATGGAATTGACACAAGCACCTGAAAATGGAAATTAGGCGCGTCATTCACAATTGTGATACAGTTTCAGATTCTCTCTAAATATCAAAGGAGAGTATTCCTAGATAATACATACCTCGCTGGCTTCTGTCTCAGGTGGAGAGGGAGTGTCTCTTCGTTCATGCACAATAATATCCTTTCTGTCACTGGTATCCTTTAGTAGGTCAGAAGATTGGCAGTCTGAATGATCAGAGGGAATTGATGTATTAGGTCCACTGATTTCAGCATTGGTTTCATTGGTGTCAAAGGTTCCCTCGTCAGTTATTTTTCTTATCCCTTTCAGCAAGAGCTGCTTCATTTGTTCAGGTATATTACCCACAAAACCAGGATTACTTTCATTAACAGGACTAGCAAATCCGCTAGCAGTAGCAGAAACAGGATTACAGAGATTTTCATCAAAATGATAACTTTGCCTTAGTTTTGGCCTCCTTCGCTGTGTGTCTTCTGTCTTGTCAAGTTTCCAGTGTGTCACAACACTATTTGGAAAAGGATTCGTAGACCATGGACCTCTCTCATCAATTAATGATCGAAACATGTGTATCCATTTTTCCTGTAAAAGCAAACCTAACTGTTTATACGTACATCAAAATTAAATCAAACACCGTTTATGAAAAGAAAAGCAGGGTCAAAGGAAAAATAGTAATATCGAAACAAGGATGTTACGCATACAGCAACGTTTTGCTGCTCCTCCTCATAGGTAAGCTGGAATTCAGCTCTTCTGCTATCATCTGAAGATAGGATTGAGTTCAAGCTATTCTGGATTTCATCTTCTAGAGCTTGCTTACTAGTGGATTCTGCCAAGCTGTTTTCATCTATTCTACAATGAAGTTCCTGTATCTGCTGAGAGCGGTCAATTTTTGATATCTTTGTATAATTAGCTTCATCGCTGATCTAGAATGTGATAGAAGTCAGTTAAAAACATGAAGTAGCACTGGTAGGCAGTGGAAATTTAGAATTAAAGGAGGTATGGCAAATACAATGTTCTTAGAATTTGAGCTGGGCTAAGTCAACCTTACAAAACCGGTTTGTAAGGTGAGGGCTACCCAAGCTTCATAAACACTACACATGTCATATCTCTAGGCAATGTAGAACTAAACCCACCTCTTCTCACCCAATAAAAGGAAAGTCTAGGAGGCTGCAAGCCGTAGTTATACGGCTAGGGACGGGCCGCAATGAAGGCGGAATTTCCAACAAATGTCACACACAAAAATGCATTAACCAGTCAACTTGGTAATTAGTAATAAATTCATATTTACTGTCGATACTTGATCGTATTAAAACCTGAATTATATCGTATCATGGACTGTTATTCACACAAACTCATCAGATAAATTTCTTACAAAATCATTGATGGAAATTTCATACTGATCCAAATGAAATTTCTTGAAATTTATCATATATGATATTTTTCAACCTATTACTAATTAAATTCTCTAGTTTTAATAGCAATACAATCCCCCCCCCCCCCCCCCCCCCCCACCCACACAAACAAAACTGCGTGTAACACATTGTCAGCATTATATCTTGAACAGTATAGCATTTAAGACATACTGCTGCCAGAACTCGATCCTTTTGAATTAAATTTTGAATGGATCCCGCATCTTTTGAATTGTAGTTTGGCTCCAAAGTGTCATCGCGGTTCACAAGGCTAGTAGCAAGAATTGATTTTCCAATATTAACAGTCTCACGGATCAAATGTGATAAAAGATGAAAACGAGCACCATCGTCCAACATTCCATACTGTGACCTAACAAAAAGCAGTACCCTACCAAGAACAAAACAAAAAGTTAGTTTCTCATAGGTCAATCTTACAAATTGAGAACTGACTCTCAAAAATAGAAGGAAAAAAATTAACATTTAATCCATGATAAGTAAACTTGTAAAGTCATATACTTGCTTTATGTATTTGTTAGCAATATTACCAGATGATAAGTTGCAGCCTACTCTTGCTTTGCTCATCATCAGCAGTTAAAAGGCAGGGTAAAAGTGAGGTGAACTGTTGGACACACCGTGATGCCTTTTCTAGAGAAGATTTACACAGATAAAGAATAACAAGGTGATAAATAACTCTAGGGCACCTCTCTCCTCGTAAAACCATTGCTTTATCAACATTTTTGTTAGGCTTTGCAGTCAGAGCATTACCTATCCCTCCAGATACAACGACTGCAGCCACTTCGGCAGCAGGAATGTTTAACGACTCAACTAAACCACGGGCCCTTTGACCAAGAGATGGTCCTGCAAATGACGTCGATTTAGGTAACGCACCACTGGGTCCCTTGCAATTCATTTTGCTAATAATAACCCACAAATTGTCATAGAGATTCCACCATTTATCTTCAATTGAATCCTCACATGGTATTAGCTGCTTAAAATTTTGTGATTTTCTGAAAGAGTACACGGCCAAATTGTAAACAATGGTATTACAAGCATCAAATATTATGTTTTTCTAGTGTATGTAGTGCCATGAGGGGGAGAGCAGGATTCTGTGATTTAATACCTAGATGTTTGTTCATCGGCTTCTCCTATCAACACATCTTTCAAGGCAGAACTGTACTCCTTGTGACATTCCATTTCCAAATCAAGGTGAAAATCAGATTCACTTCCAAGGAGCTGCAAGGGAAAAATATTAGCATGTCTCCAATAAATACTATCAATTTTAAATATTTTAATAGGTTCTAATCATAACGACACAATGAAATCAAAACATGATAAAAGACTTAAATATTTCTTAAATGCTATTATAGGCATGACATTATCCTATTGCAGACTTAGGGTACTCGTATATATGAATGAAGTTTGAAGAAAGTTTATTTCTACATTGTTTCAGTTTGGAACACTCAGAGTAAGACCCAATGGAAAGCCACCTTAATTGTGGCAACTTGGGAGCACATGTGGGCTATACTGGAAAAGTGAGAGGGAATAACTATCTGCCTTCGTAGCAATCAGGGAGTGGAGGAGGGAACCACGGTGCACGAGAAAGAGAGGGGTTAAAGGAAGGATTCACAGGTTGTGCAAAGGATGATGGTTTTGGAATAGAAATTGGGGACTGAGGGAGAATTATTCTCATCTCAGTAAGGATGTTCTCACGGAGAATATCATTTACCGTTCTTATATTTTCCTTTGTTGCAAGGAGATACTACCTTCATCCAGTGTTTCTTAAATACCAGTCACTGTAAGATAATCCTCAGTATTCACAGTAATATAATCAGTCTTTTCTCCTATTGTTCTAATAGCATACTGTTTAATTGGTATTCAAAGTTCGACCCGGGAGCGTGGTAGTGACGAGAATGGAACGAATTGAGAATTTGGAGAAACACATGGAGACGAAGATTCGTCATGAGAATCAGCAATTGTTGGATGAGGCGATGATGTTGAGTGCGCTGATTATGAAACAAAACACCAATAGACGTGAGAGCGCCGATGTCGCTGTTCGTGAACGCCAATTATATCGCCAGTTCTGCATTTTTCCAGTGGAGATCCTTATGGTTGGATTTACCGTGCTGAGGGTATTTCACGAAGAACCATATTCTAGAAGAGGAGACGGTGCATGAGGCTTCGGTTTGTTTTGAATCAAAAGCACTTGATTGGTTTCAATGATGGGAGGTTAGAGCGTAGCGTATTTCCTGGATTCTGTTGCAACACACGTTGTTGATTTGAATCCAGGATGCAACATTGGAGAATCCATATGAAGTGTTGATGAGTTTGAAACAAACTCACAATGTTGTTGAGTTCATCGACCAATTTGAACTTGTTTCATCACTCTTACGCCAGCTGATGAGGAGATGCTGCGTGGAGCATTCATGAATTGGTTGAAGAAATCAGTAAGAGCAGAGGTGCGTTTACACGACACTGTTGATTTGGAAAACACAATGAAAATGGCAAGAAAGGTTGAAAAGAAAAATCGTGGATGGCCACAAGGTACGAAAGAGGGGAGTTTGTCAAGACTTGCAATTGGAATTGCCTGATGTACCGGTGATGCAGAATGGTTGGTTGGAAGGGTTAGGGAAGTCAGAAGCTGACTTCAAAGAACATGATGTGATGTGGGTGACTATTGAGGGCAAAAGGGTGGAGATTAAAGGGGATCCCGAATTGTCAAGAATAGTAGCTTCTTTAAAGGCTATATTCAAGGAGTTTCAAAAATGTGATGAGGCTTTTTATGTGGAATTGGTTATGAAACCTTTATTCACACGAGGTGAAGGGAGAGGTTGCAATTTTGGGAGAAGTGTTGGATGAGTATGCTGCTTTATTCCAAGAAGTGGAAGTCTTACCTCCTCATGGGCGTTGTGACCATGCTAACGACATCAAAAAAGGCTCCCAGATAACTAACATCAGGACCTATAGGTATCCACACCATCAAAAAGAGGCCATTGAAGCATTTCTCAAAGACATGTTAGTTGTGGGTCTCATTAGACCAAGTATAAATCCTTACCCTTTAATTCTAGTATAAAAAATATGGTAGTTGGAGGTTTTATACAGTTTATAGGGTTCTCCAAATGTCACTACTTCAAACAAATTTCCCATTCCAGTAATTGAAGAATTGTTAGATGAGTTGTGGGGAGCTGTGATATTTTTTAAATTAGACCTAAAGCCCAGGTATCAACAAATTAGGATGAAGGAGAGTGACATTCCAAAAACAGCATTTAGAACCCATGAGGGACATTACAAGTACCTAGTGATGCCTTTGAGATAACAAATGCACCTTCTACTATCTAGCCCCTAATTACTGACATTTTAAAAATATTTGAGGAAATATGTATTGGTATTTTTTATGATATATTGATTGGCCTATAGTTGAAACCATCAAGCTCACAATGATCATCTTAGGATTGTGATGGAAGTTTTGAGGATCAATACTCTCAAGGTGAATGTTATTAGAGTTATAAGGGCAATTCTGTAATATTCTGTAAAAGGGAATTAGACTAGTGTCTAATTCCATTTCTATCCTTATCCTTTCTATATAAAGGATTGCTGTAACTGAATCAAGATTGAATAACAAATTCTGTTTGCATTTTCCCTCTCATTTTCTCTCTCTCTCTCTCTTCTCTTTCTTTCACTCTTTGCTTCTCTGTTTCTATCATGGTTTCAAAAAATGTTGTTTTGGCATGGTTCAATTGGAGTACTTGGGTGATATTATTTCAGCACAAGGAATCACAACGGATCCTGGGAAGATTAAGGTTATGCAAGAATGGACCTTGCCAGAAAATCTCAAGGGAAATTCTCATTGGGGAATGAGGAGTGAGAATTATTCTCATCTCAATAGGGATATTGTCATTGTGAGAATATCATTTATCGTTCTTATACTTCCTCTATCCTTTGTTTGTTAAGTACCAGTCACAGTATGAGGGTTAATCCTCAGTATTCACCGTAATATGATCAGTCTTCTATCCTATTGTTCTTATACCATACTTTGAGTCTGTTAATTTCTCACCAAACAAACCAACTTCATAGGTTTGAGTTATAGGACCTAAGCTCAATTTATAAACCTTGTTTTTGGTTTTGGACCAAAATGGTAGTTTTGATGCTGCGGCGGCGCACATATGTTATATGGTTTAGTAGAGTGCTGATAAATCAAGTTGAAGTTGTCTTGTGCCACCTAACTATGAGACACTGTTGACATGATGACGTCTATACAATGCTGAGACCCAGAACAATACAATAAAATTTAAGTATTCTGTTGCAGTGATACCCACCTTTCAAAAAGATTTTTGATGTTTTTTAATAAGTATAGAAATACGTATATTTCATTATGTTGGAACTGTTACATTGTGAGGTATATATAGAATACAGTACACTAATTTGTTAATAAACAGAGAAATAATTTCCTATAATTGCTGCTACCTAAATAAGGAAATCAGAATAAAAGATAATAAATCTATTTACACCACTGTTTTGTAACAGCTTGACAAATCAGAATCAAATGATTATGATTTGATATGTGCTAATCTTCAACACTCCCCCTCAATCTGGGTGGTAGATGTCTATCATACCCAGATTGGATTTGATATTTTCATAAGTATTCCTTGGAAGAGCTTTGGTTAAGATATCTGCAGTTTGCTTGCATGATGGGACATGATCAATACTTATAATCTTATGATTAATTTTTTCTTTAATGAAGTGTCGGTCAATTTCCACATGTTTTGTTCTATCATGTTGGACTGGGTTCTTTGCAATGCTTATAGCAGCGTTGTTATCACATAGTAACCTCACAGTATGGTTCACTGGAATTTTGATTTCATCTAGCATGCTCTTAAGCCACATTCCTTCACAAATACCTAGGGCCATAGCTCTAAATTCTGCTTCTGCACTACTCCTCGCCACTACAGTTTGTTTCTTGCTTCGCCAAGTTACTAGGTTCCCCCATACAAATGAACAATAACCTGTAGTCGATTTTCTGTCTGTGGAGCATCCTGCCCAATCTGAATCTGTATAAACTTCAATGTCCCTGTTTGAATTTCTCTTGAAGTGGAGGCCTCGACCTGGTGTGCCTTTGAGGTATTGGAGGATTCTATTCGCCATTTTCATGTTAGACTCGGTTGGATTTGACATGTAGCGACTAGCCAAGCTTACAGCGAACCCAATGTCAGGCCTAGTGTGAGATAGGTAGATTAGTTTTCCAACTAGACTTTGATATCTATCTTTGTCGGCTGGTGGACTTTCATCTTCTCTTCCTTTTATTTGTTCTATTGGTGTATTAGCTTCCTTGCACCCAAGCATTCCAGTTTCTTGAAGTAAGTCAAGGGTGTATTTCCTTTGTGATACATAGATACCATCCTTTGTTCGAGCAACTTCCATCCCTAAAAAATACTTAAGTTGTCCCAAGTCCTTAACTTCAAATTCCTTTGCCAAGAGTCCCTTTAAATGATCAATTTGATCATAATCATTTCCTGTAATAACGATATCATCCACATAAACAATAAACAAAGCTACCTTTCCTTCCATGGAGTGTTTAACAAACATAGTGTGATCTGATTGGCATTGGTTGAACCCGTCTTTCTTGACAACTCGAGTCAATCTATCAAACCACGCCCTTGGGGACTGCTTGAGGCCATAAAGGGATTTTCGGAGCCTGCACACCATATTTGCGGTGCTGGATGATTCGAGTCCAGGAGGAATCTGCATATAAACTTCCTCTTCTAGGTCACCATTTAAGAAGGCATCCTTGATGTCTAGTTGATGGAGTGGCCAATCTAAATTTACAGCCAAAGAGAGAATAACTCTAACGGAGTTTAGTTTTGTCACCGATGCAAAAGTCTCTTCATAATCTACTCCATATGATTGAGTAAATCCCTTTGCTACAAGTCGAGCTTTGTACCGATTTACACTCCCATCTGCATTATACTTCATGGAGAATATCCATTTGCATCCTACCGGCTTCTTCCCTGCAGGTAGGCTTGTGATTTCCCAAGTGTCATTCTTAATTAAGGCCTGAACCTCTTCCGTTACAGCTGCTGCCCATTCAGAATTTTGGAGTGCCTCATGGATGTTGCTTGGAATATGTGTATTGTCAAGAGCTGTTGCAAAAGTCTTGTAACTTTGGGACAATTTTCCATAAGATACAAATCTTTCAATGGGATGTTTGGTACAGGATCTTACATTTTTTCTCAACGCAATAGGAATATCAATATCAACATTCACAGATTTAGGAGCAGTATTACCTGAGGGAACGCCATTTTCTGGAGTCTTGGAGGTTTCTTGGTTCTGCCTTAGAGTTGTGCAGGACTCTATTCCCTTCTTGTTCTTCCTGGAGTACACTTTCATGTTGTTTCCTGGTGCAGTTTCTGCTATAGGGGCTGCAGTTTCTACGGCAATTTCCTCTGTATTTTCTAACGTAGTTTCTTCTGGTCCACATGTAAGTTCTGCAGTTTCTGTTGCATTTTCATTTGGTTTAGGTGTAGGTTTTGATGCCTCTGCAGTGAGTTTGGGTTCAGTTAGCTCAAGTTCCAAAAGTTGGGATTCTACCACTTCAATTGGATATGTGTTCTCCCTCTGAATGCCAATTTTGGGGTAATATGGTTGATTCTGAAAAAAGGTTACATCCATGGTGTGGTAGAATTTTTTGTTTTGAGGTGAATAACATTTGTATCCCTTTTGGTGAGGAGAGTAGCCGAGGAATATGCATTTAATGGATTTCGGGTCAAGTTTACTGCGTTGGGGATCAAGATTATGGACAAAGGTTGTGCATCCAAATGTTTTCAAAGGAATAGATGTAAGAATACGATTGGTTGGGTATAAGGTTTGGAGAGTGGAGTAAGGCGTATGAAAGTTAAGGATTCGGAAAGGCATTCTGTTTATTAGATAGGTTGCAGAGAGGACAGCTTCTCCCCAAAACTGGTTAGGTACATTTGTAGCTAGCATGAGAGATCGGGTTACTTCTAGGAGGTGTCTATTCTTTCTCTCGGCAACCCCATTCTGCTGAGGTGTATCCACACATGAGGTTTGGTGTATTATTCCATGTTGCATAAAGTATGAGCTTAGTGCAGAATTATAGTACTCACGACCATTATCACTCCTAAGCACTCTAATTTTGCTTTGAAATTGTGTTTGCACCATGGTATGGAAACATTCAAATATCCTACCAACTTCCGATTTATCTTTCATAAGGTAGACCCAAGTGATCCGTGTGTGGTCATCAATAAATGTGACAAACTATCTTGCTCCAGTTACATTTCTGACCTGCGATGGTCCCCATACATCACTATGAATAACATAAAAAGGTTGGGAAGGTTTATAGGGTTGAGGTGGGTGGGGGCTGCGTGTATGTTTGGACAATTGACAAATTTCACATTGAAACAACTTCTAATTTTTATTGAATAGTTTAGGAAGCATTTTTTCCAAGTACATAAAATTTGGGTGGCCTAGTCTATAGTGCCACAGCATTGCAGAATTTTCACTACATGCAGAAACTACAGCGCAAGAGGTTGCCTCGAATTCTGGTTTAGATGCTTCAGCCTGAAAGATATAGAGTCCAGCACATTCTTTAGCATTGCCAATCGTCCTCCCCGACTCCAAAATCTGAAATTCACACAGGTTAGGAAAGAATTTAGTGATACACTTCAAATCCTTTGTAAGTTTACTTATGGACAGCAAGTTACAATCAAGTTTAGGCACATACAGTACTGAACTAAGAGTAATATTTTGCGAAATAATGACTGAACCTTTACCCATGACCTTAGAAAGGGTACCATCAGCAATTCGAACAGTCGAATTATTTTGACATGAAGAATAGCTATCAAAGACAGTCAAATCTCCAGTCATGTGATCAGATGCTCCTGAGTCAATAATCCATGATTTTTGTTTTCCCCTGCTAGTGTTTAGAGCATGCAAAAAATTACCTTTTTGTGCCACAGTAGCTTTACCAATTGTTTGTTGAAGCAATTTTTGTAAGGCTTCCATTTGCTCCTTGTTGAATGGTGACGAGTGAGAATTTACCTCAGTTGTGTTCCCTCTGCTGTCCCGGTTTTTGCTCCATTTTAGCTTTGATGGCTTTCCATGAATGATCCAACATGTGTCTTTGGTATGACTCGGTTTCTTGCAGTGGTCACACCATGGCCGTGTTTTCTTTTGGAAAGATCGATGATCTCCCCTTGCTGCCATTGCAGATCCTTCTATAGATGGGGCTGCACTGGATTTTCCAAGCATCACTTTTCTCCTGCTTTCCTCTCTTCGTATTTCCGAGAATGCTTCTCGAATTTTTGGAAGAGGTTTGGTCCCAAGGATTCTCCCACGAACTTCATCAAGTTCTGTGTTCAAACCTAAGAGAAATTTGTAGATTCTATCTTTCTCCACCAATTCTTTGTACTTCTTTTTATCCTCTGTGCAGCTCCATTCAGCTTCATCATATACATCCAGTTGCTGCCAGTGACGATTGAGAGTACTAAAATATTCTGTGACTGAGTGGTCTTCTTGACGCAAGTCATGGAGTATGCTCTTGATTTCAAATATTGCAGATGTATTGTCGACATTAGTGTAGGTTTCCTTTACGGCATCCCACATCTCTTTGGCAGTATCATAGTACAAGAAATTTTCTCCAATTTCATTTGTCATGGTGTTTAGCAGCCATGACATTACTAGACTGTTTTCTAGTTGCCATTTTTCAAGGTTGGAATCCCCCTTTTTTGGACACTTGGAGTCTCCTGTGATATAACCTTCCTTCCCTTTTCCTTGAAGGTAGATTTTGACTGAGCGCACCCATTGATTGTAATTCTGGCCATTCAGTTTGTGACCAGTGATAGGAAGAGCATGTCCTTCGGCCAAATTGTTGGCTGAATTTTCTGCTTTAGTATCTGCCATGGGTGGTGCTCAAGGTTTAGGGATGGTTCAGATCTTATGCTCTGATACCATATAGAAATACGTTGTATATTTCATTATGTTGGAACTGTTACATTGTGAGGTATATAGAATACAGTACACTAATTTGTTAATAAACAGAGAAATAATTTCCTATAATTGCTGCTACCTAAATAAGGAAATCAGAATAAAAGCTAATAAATCTATTTACACCACTGTTTTGTAACAGCTTGACAAATCAGAATCAAATGATTATGATTTGATATGTGCTAATCTTCAACAATAAGTATATCTCATCCTCCACACATTTAATTTACTCTTAATGAGAAAAACATTTGAATAATTTGTGAATTAAAATTGTAGGTTAGCCCAGTACCGGGAGTTCTTTATCAATTTCGGAGATCAGCATCTCATCAATCAATTTCAAAAGGTACAGTGTATTGTCTCGACAGGGTTGTGAAATGAAAATATTGTCCGCAGCTGACAAATCCACCAAATTTTGAATCACATCTTCATATATATCACGGAGAAAGAACTGATATGAATTTCCACCCTACAAGGAGAGTTTCAAACAAAATCGTCACTTGAGTAAAGAAACATGAGAAGACTATAATAATGAAACTAGAATATTTCAAAAACATAATTGCTGTCATTAAAGGATAAAAAGTCAACCAGTAGCTTGATTCCGATCATACCTCCTCAGGGTGCATAACAAGGAAATTGACTGTTTCTTCCAACTGCTGCCAGCCACCTTTTACAGAATTCAGATAGTGACACAGAACTAAAGAAAACAAATTTCTCACCACAAACAGCTCATCCATTTTATTGTTACCATGATTATGTAACTTGACATTTTTGTCCTTTAACACACCAAGCTTTAGAGAAGATGCTAGCCAAGCATTCCACCCATATTCCTATGAACAATATAATTAATCAAAAAATAATTCACCAAGTTATCAACAGTTAGCAAAAAAAGAACTTGTAAACACCATACCATAAAAGCTTCAATATTTGAAGCATTTGAATCAAGAAGGTCAAGTATATCTCTGATTATTTTTATTCTTGCAGATGTATCCTCACAGCCAGACAAATATCTAAAAATCAGAGGCAACATCTGAGGAAGTAAAAAATGAGAGCTACTTCCCTTGCTTCTTACCCTCTCAAGGTGGCTGTGTCTTTGTAAAACCTGTAAACCACACAATTTACTTTAGTGATTCTCAGAATATGACCATCAAATAAGCAGAGCATAATAACTAATTCACTTAGTCTTGTCAAGCACATCAATGTTGTTCGAAAACTTTCATAAGAAGGAATTGTTAAGAAATGTGGTTGGGCCTAACTCAACCCTACAAAACCGATTTGTAGGGTGAGTATTTCCCCCACTTATGACCCACTGGATCTTAAACGAGACTCTTGATAACATGTTAAGAAATGTGGTTGGACATAACTCAACCCTACAAAACCTGCTTGTAGTATAAGCACATGTTTAGGTCCTATATTGTCTGATGTGGGACTCTTAACAGCAATATTGAACTAACGGAAAATAAACAAGATCTCGAGAGGGGTCCATTATCCATATGACACGTTACCTGTTTGGGGCTAGCACCACCAAGAAGAACATCAAATAAAGTAGCACAAAGATTTTCTGTCTGCGGAAAGCTGAAAAGTCTATCAGATATAGCTAACAAAATTGGTTGCATTCTGATTTTCCTATGTTCTTCTGAAATAGATTTGGATCTTCCCGTTGGGATACTGAAGAATCTTGACCCCTTCTTTTCAGACGGTAGGCCAACCAAAAGCCTCCCAAGGAACTGTAAGCTCAGCAATCGGATAGACTCACACTCCCTATTACAAAACAAAAGAAGGCATGAAAATTAAAAGAAAATTAATTTTCTATATGTATTTGAGTGGTTACTGGTTAAAGTTACACATCTATTAGAACCCTTTAATTTATACACAGGTTACAAAGATAACAAGTGTTCAGTGCAATTTATGAAAGAGTAATTAAGCTATCACTATCCAAAGATGCAACAGACCTATTCTACTTGATCTACAAAGAATTCAGCCTACTTTAAAGATGAAACATTAATGTGATTCAATTTCTAACACTCCCCATCAATATTGGAGAATCAGTATTTTCCATTTCTAGCTTGCATATAATTCTTTCAAAAACTGGACTAGACAGATGTGAAAGCATGTGTAATCTTGTATTCAATATACTTTTTATACTCAACACCTAACAAAATATTCTGATTACTAGGTTGTCCTCCATTTGATCTTTTGGGAATTCAATTTTCTCAACTTAATGCACTGGTTACCAATGCTACTGTTAAGATATGTAGAGGTTTAAGTTATATTATGTTGAGAAAATCTCTATAAGATTAGGATTGTTAGTTTATTGAATGTTCTTTCCCTTAGTCAAGGAATTTGATTACTGATTTGACTGTATTCTCTTAGTTATAAATAACAAAAGGCTTTGATTACTAATTTGAATGTACTCTCCTAGTTATAAATAAAAAAGGCTGAGTATTTCTCTCAATCAATTCAAATAATCAAATTCAACTGCTACTTTCACTAATAGTACTACTTGGCTTCCAAATTTTGTTGCCTTTTTTTATGTCACAAGTGATGCAAGAAACGCTCCCCTTTGAAGGTCCTGACCAGATCTTTATAGGGAATGAACAAGGTTTCCCCATAGATTCTTCTAGTTCAAGTGTTTTTACCTCACTCTACAAGCCACAAACCCCATTTATATCCTAAATAACCTACTTCATGTACCTTCTTAAATTCCAGAAAACTAGTGAACTCCTCTTTCCTGCCATTGTTGGTTTTGATGACCTCTATGAGTTTCCCGGTGCTTGTCTTGGATTGGCCCAGCCTTCTTCATCCTTATTGTAGTCTAATAATTCTTCTATTTGCAATGTGTATACTGTAACTAGTGATTGTAAGAATCATCTAGCTCTCAGCTCATAATACTTGTGACACTAGAGACTACGTCACCCTAGTAGTCACCCTCTAAAACTTGAATAGAATCATATTTCCACTAAGTAATAAAGATAACGATCTTTCTGCATTTTGTACTCCTTGATGTATAGGCAAAACTCACAGACTTCACTCACCCTCATCAGACACCACACAATTCAAAGCCATGTCTGATGCCTTTCTTATTTTCAAACAATTCAAAACCATGGTTGAGCTACAACTTGGCCATTCCCTTAAGCCCCCTACAAAACTAATTGGGGAGTGGAATTAGACCCTTCACCCAAACCGTCACCAATCAAGGTACCACTCATACACTAATTTTCCCTCATACTCACCGCCAAAATGGTATAGCTGAGAGAAAACATAGACACGCTGCTGACCGCCAAAATGGTATAGCTGAGAGAAAATATAGACACGCTGTTGACTTCAGTCTCACTCTTAGTCAAGCTTTTCCCCCTTTAACAAAATTCAATCAAATCCGTCAATTAAGAATAAAATTCATCCAATATATCCATTAACATCTTTTCAATGGATGGATATCCATACATCCATAAAATTAACTTTAACATTTTAATTACTTTTTTATAATATTTTTTTTAAGCTTACGTAAACAATATTTTTTTTAAATATCTTTTTTTACTGCAATATTTTTAAAACCCTCCCTACCCCCCTCCTAGTTTTCTAGAGATAATAATAAGGTTAATTTAGTTTTTTTTTGAAATTTATTATATAATTTCATCATAGCCCTTAAAATGGCACTTTTTCTCCCGGTCCTTTGCCCTCCTTCCCATTTTTATGTTCACCGTTTTTATATTTATACTATGGTTAACCAGTAACAATATTTAAAATCCTATGTACAAGTGTTTATTTCTGAAAAATAAAAGTGCTTTGAGCGAAATGTGAAGACGTTGTGATTCATCAGTCGCTGCCGGTGCCGGAGCAGTGGAGACATAAGCGGAGGAGGGAGGCAATACCGGTGGAGTAATTGCGCCAGGGATCGACTCAGCAATCTGAAACCGTATTAGATTGTAGAGTAGGTGTTACCATTTTTGTTGTAACTGAATTTCAATGATGTGAAAAGTTAGTTACAAGCTAACACATGTTTGCCTTATATAGAGCAAACTAGGAAAACCTGCTATAGCAGGTGGGACAGTCAACTGACTGGTGTCTGTTTTGGTAGTTATAACAAACAGAAAATACAGCCTAACCTAGCATTACATTCAATACATCTCAAGCAGCTTTTCCACTCTAGTTCACACCCTAGTTCAAAAACTTAATGTTTCCTTTAGTCTCAAATAGCTTGGTGCCCTTGATTACTTCAAGGACATTCTCTCCAGAACAAACATGCTGGAGTGTAATACTATACTATGAACAGCCAATGATGTCTACCTGCACACTCAAGCAGAGTGAGATATATAACTGTAGCTATTCTAGTAGCTTCTATCCTTTAGCTTCGTATAGAAGCTCACTTGCCCTTCAGTTGTCACGCCAGCATAGCTAACCAAAAGGTACTTATGACTGAGTGTATGTTAAAACAGATAAGGGTGCAGGTTTAGCTCAGGCTACTGCTGAAATTTCTGGGTTCAAACTCTATTGCAAGAGCTTTTTGTACCTTTTTCACCTCCTGTGATATACCGTGATAGATACCAATCAGCTGTTCTACTTACTCATAATCCCATTTTCCATGCAAGTTTCTCTGGGTTAAAACAATATTGCAAAAGCTCTTCGTACTTTTTTCACCTCCTGTGATATAACTATGACCAAAGAACAATATCTCCACATCTGCCACCAATTCATAGTTCTTGTAAGAACAAGATTTTGGTTCTGCAATATTTTCTCTAAGTTTTGATGATAACAAATGAGTATGTTTGTATGAATAATTTTGATACTTTAATGTTTGTTATTGTTGATACTTAACAAACAGGTTATGCTTCTAATGGATGGCGTGGCCAAGACATTAGAAGATAATTAGTTTCGCTTCTGCGCTACACAAGTTTTGTTGAACAGTTGCAAGACACTCCAGAAGGCTCTAAAGTGTAGCCTCTGATATTTGTCTAAAGAAACCAGTCGGAAGATCTGAAGACAGAAGTTTCTACTTACGTCCAGATGTTGAAGACTGATGCTTCTAAAGACAATGTGTTTGAAAAGAAACAAGTCAGAAGATCTGAAGACAAAAGTTGCTACTTAAGTCCAGATGCTGAAGACTCATGTTTCTGAAGACAATGGGTTCTAAAGAAACAATCAAAAGATCTGAAGACAGAAATTTCTACTCAAGTCCAGATGCTAAAGACTCAAGTTTCTAAAGACCCAAGATTTCTAAAGATAAGGGTTCTAAAGACCAAGTGCTGAAGACTTTGAACAAAAAAGTTCTAAAGATTTGAAGTTCTAAACCCAGGGTTCTAAGAAAAGGTTTTCACGACCAAGTGCTGAAGACTCTGAAGACGCAGTTCTGAAGACTCTAAAGACTTGAAATTTTGATGACCTTGTGTTATGTTCTCGCTTCTAAACACATGCTCGCAGAAGCCTCTGAAGTGCAGAAGGAAAGAAGATAACATTAACGTGGTACAAATAGTACATGGTACGGTCAATGTTTCATTCCACTACCATAAAAGGACGGACGCATTGCACGATCTTGTCCCCCACGTGATTGCTCGAGTTGTCAATGTTTTTGGATATCCCAAGAGTACCCCTCAACGGATGTATTATTTTATTGGCTATATAAGGGCTTGAAGACTAAGAGAGAAAGCCGTCAATCAACGAAATATCTACGCACAAAGTGTTGTTCATAGCTTTCATATTTTTAGTCATTGTTCTTAAAATAGTTTACATATTCAACTTGTGTAGAAGCAATACTTTTTTGTAAACAAAACTTGTATTCAAACGGTTGTTTGATTTTTCCTTAAGGGTAGGTCTGTATTCTTCACAAATCTAGGACTTGTTTGTCTTAGAGGCTGTTTGTCACTTGCGGGTAGTTTGTGCAGAATTTTCCTTAAGGAACCGGGTAGGTCTGTATCCTTAAGAAGTCTAAGACTTGTGTGTCTTAGAAGTTGTTAGTCACTTGCGGGTAGCTTGTGCAAATTGTAATCAGTTTGGTTATAGTGGATTAAATCCTCAATTGAGTGAGGCGAAATCACCTTGGCGGGTGGACTAGACTAGCTTGATAATTTTCAAGTGAACTAGTATAAACATATCTTGTTCTTTACTTTCTGTTCTTACTTATTGTTATTATCAAGAGTGGAAGAAAAAATATTTTAACTTAAAGGTGAATAAATTTTTTAAAGAAAAGATTTTGATTTAAAATCCAATTCAAACCCCCAATTTCTTGTGTTTTTCACACCTTCAGTTCTTCCATGTAAGTTTCTCCAATGTAATAGAGGGGTTACAGGAGAACACAAAAGAGGTTCGACCTTTGTTTATACAGATAGCAGTACTAGAACGGTGACTGTAGATTCTGCCAAGGGAGACAAAACGACGACGACAACAACGGAAAAAGGTAGGTCTAGAAAGGGTCCACGCAAACAAGATACATACAAAGACGAGGTATACAGAAAAATATATTTGAAAAGGATTGAATGAAAAGATATAACTAGACACACTGAGACTGCAAGTGGATCAGACATTTACCGTTAAGTAGACTGGGAATAGCAGTATGTCAAAAAGAAGTTTGTAGGGTGGCGCATGGATCAGTGGGTGGACACCTGGCAATGCTTATGTCTCCTACTAAATTCATGTAGGGGGTGAGAATAGTTCTAGACAAAGTAAGTGTAGCCTAGTTTCGAAGAATATACAGCTGTAACCAACTACTGATGTCGGTTAATTTGGTGTAGGTTAAAGTCATTTGTAGGTCAAAGTCAGCTATATAAAGCTGTTAGCTGAAACAATTCTGTTTAGTTAATTCTAATCTCTATTTTCAAGAAATACAACTTTCTCTGAAATTCTCTTTCCCTCAATATATTACCAACATTAAACCGCCCATTGTTGGACCTCATCCTACAAACCTAACCACACCATCAAGTCAAGCTCCACTGGATCTTTCTTGCATGACGGAAATTATATACAATGGGTTATTTATTTGCAATCTTTAGCCTTTAATAAAAATTTTCTTAGGGGTTATTTATTGATAGTTGTTGGTTATTCAGGGATTTTATTATTTGGCTATCTTGGAATAGGAAGAGCTTATAAGGCTGTTTGGCTTTATAAGGTCTATAAAAGAACCTTCACCATCAATTAAGTTTTAATTCATATAGGGTTTAATATTTAAGTTGGAAAAGCACTATGTCCTATAGGAGTGCCTTAGATTTGTGAGGGAAATACCAAGAGGAGTACTTGTGGATTGCCTTGCATCACTATCCCAGCCAAAATTTTATGAATATGCATACTTTATTGGAAGAACCATGAAATTGGTGGACTAAAGCAACATATACTGTTGTTGAAGAGGTAAAAGAGAACTCAACTCAATAGAGTTGCCCATAAGTGTGTGAACATCAAAAAGTTCAAAGTGATTTATCAATTATAATTCATTATTCCTTTGTTAATAAAATGCATAAGGCGTGACATACCTCTGGAGAAGGTTAACAAAAACCTGACAACCATTGACGATATTAACTTGTTCAAGGAAAGAAGCAAGTAGAGATTTCTGAGAAACAGCGCGAATAATCATGTGTAAGACATCTTCAATACAGGACATATCCTGACTTGTCTCAAAAAATGCTATGAGAGCTTTTATGTCTCCAGCAGCAATATTCTGCCTGTATATCCCAAAGAACTTGGTTGAACAGAGAATTTGGTTGTAAACAGTTCAAATAGAGCAGAATAAACTTTACCTGAGACTCATTTCACCAAGACTCAACAAAAGAAGACGGATCTTGTGCATTTCTTCTTTACTAGGCCTTTCCCCTATAACTTTTTTGCTTGCAGGATGTTGGAGAAGGTTATTTCCAACAGATAATCGAGAATTTACATTATCACAATAGAATTGGTGAATTATATCAAGAACACGTGGAAGTCGGCATAAACTTTTAAGTAATCTAGGATCATTGTCAAATTGCTGGATCAGAAACATGTACAGTTCACGTTGTACTTTGTAAATAGTGTAGACCCAGATAAGAGGATTAAGAAAAATGCTAGATATAGCCTCTTCCACAAGCAACTCTGCCAGCCCTGGGGAGCATTGCAATGGAAATATAAAGGACTAAATAGTGGCAACAGGAAATATCAACAGATGAAAATTGTATGTACAAGGAACAGGAACAACTTGTATACCTGAGTTAGAGACAACATTAAAAAGATGCTTCAAAGCAGAAAGAGTTTCTAGATTAAGTGGTTGTGGAGGAACCGATTGTAACAAGAATCCCAGGACTGAAAATCCAGACACAATGTGCATCTGCTGTTGATTTGCTACATTCTCATCTAAAAGAGAGGCAATAAGCTCAATAACTTGACCCATCACACACTTCCTCGTTGACCGCATTAAAGCTGTCTTTTCAAATTCCCCAACTTCATTTTCAATATTGCAACAGTGTGTGATTAGAGGGAAAAGCACAGATACGCCACCAACACAATATATTATTTGCTGCAGCATGCGTCTTGAGCATAATTGAGTCCCACCAATTACAGAAGCTTCAAAAGAATTCTTATCTAATGCATGACTCATTATCGGTGAAACATTAAACAACATTCTACCAACACTTGCCTGAAGGAAAAGAATTAACAAACATGCCTGAGTCCAGATATAGATGAAATGTGGCTCAAAAGTAACTCCTCTATGAAAAAGGAACAAATAATAATTGGATATGCATGAGTGGGCATATATAAAGGGAAAAGAAAAAGGTACAGGACCTGAGCATTGAGTCCAAAGATAATTCTTGATGCAAGACCATCTTTGGCATCAAGAATCCCACTAGGTATTTTATCACCAGAAAGTGGTAAAGCTTCATTATCATGAAATGAGTACATGTAACTTGGCCCTAGAGAGTAGATGCTCTGTACTTGTTCAGATGAAATGGCATCATTGAATAAATACACAGGACCAATTTGGCCAAAAAATGGGCATGAATCACGGATGGATTCAAAAGTGAGAGTGCTGTCTTCATAGTGAGGCATCTTAAGTTTAGCACCAATCATGCAACTAGTTAATGGTTCACTGATTTTTGCATACCTGAAAAAATAAAGCATGTAAATCTAGTCAGAATGCCACAAGAAGCAATTTAGCAACTGATCACACAATAAACTCCCTTAAATAAATAAATAAATATTATTGTGGCTTGAACCTGCATCTTTCAGATGAGACAAGATCACCATCCAAGTAACATCTCAACAAGCTACCTGCAGAAAATGCTCTTCCAATGCTATGAGTTATGCAAAGAAAATGCCATCTCCTTCTGACTAAATTAACGTGCAGGTCTGAACGCTGTCTCTTCAGGTTGATTGACTACAAGAGACAAGCAAAAACAAACATCAAAGGCAAAATCAAGTCAACAACAGGCACAAAAAATATAAAGGTAAGGCCTAAAGCAACAAAAGAAACTATCAACAAAGGGTGACATAATTGATCGAATTACACTTGAATAATCTGAATGCTGTAAATTATTTCACAAAGAATCTGTACAACTATACATACAGGGGAGACATAATTGGAGCCCCTCAAGATTATGAGAAATAAAGAAAAGTTGCCTAAGAAAAATATATCAAATAGTAAAGAATAAATGATAATTAAAATTACAATCAACATGAACAAAATTTTCAGATGATTTAATTCCAACCTCATAAATGAGCTTCTCCTTTGAGATCACAGCCAATGAACCTCTTCCATTTTCTGTAAGAAAACCGAAAAGACCCATTGTTCCATTTCTAGGGAAGTTCTCAATCCTGAGCCAACAGGAAAAAGAAAAGCCCTTATTGAGCGGCCACTGCAGAGGCGTTTTAAGAATAATACCCTACAGGGATTAGAAAGGAATGAGATAATAAATCACTTACAAGTAAGAATGATGTGGCTGTATATTATTTGGCAATGGAACATAAGTTCTACAAGCAGGAAAAGGAAAAAAAATATGTAACTTTACAAGTAACATACAACAACCACTAACAATCAACAGAAACAATGTTTCCTACATCCAGGAGTGAACTTAAAGGAAATTAAGAACCTTCCAGCATTTTTTTTAAATGCATGACTAAATGCAGTTTCATAGTTCGTGTTGAAATAGAAAATACTAAGAGACATTTAGGTTAAACCGTGTGTTGAATACCATAGCGGAGAATGATATATATAGAGAAAAATTAAGATCAATAGTAATAATTACATAATAAATATATAATGATTCTATTCTAGAATATATTACGGAATATAGAGAATATTCTTATTCTATATACAAATATCAACACTCTCCCTCAAGCTTTGAGCATATAAAACAAATGCACCAAACTTGTTACATATATAGTTGGTTCCGGGACTTCGTAGGGATTTTGTAAACACATCGGTCAATTGGTCATTAGAGTTGACAAAGCTTGTGGTGATATCGCCTGATTCGATCTTCTCTCTGACAAAGTGACAGTCTATCTCAATATGTTTGGTCCTCTCGTGAAAGAACGGATTTGAAGCAATATGCAATGCAGCTTGGTTATCACAAATAAGTGTCATTGATTTTGCATCTTCAATTCGAAGTTCCTTGAGCAATTGGATTTACTATTCCGGCGGTCGTGGAGGCAGCGGCGCCAACAACAATTCCGGCGGCGGCGACACCGATAATTCCGACAGAGGAAGTGGATTTACTATGCCAGAAATGTCCAGTTTCATGACAAACAACAATTTTATTTGTGGGTTTGGTTATGGCAGAGGTGATCCCAACAACAACCTTTTGGGTCCGGTTATGGCTACCCATATGGTGGTGGTTACAGTAACTCAAGAGGTGGAGGTCAAAATAACTTTCTTCAGGTTAATGTTCAGAAATCGAATGGCTCAAACTACGCTGAATGGTCCCAAACTATTCGACTTATTCTAGAAGGCAAAGGGAAGTTGAGTTTTCTTACCGGTGATGTTTCGGTGCCTGCAACAACACATCCAAATTACAGGTTCTGAAAATCTGAAAACTCTTCTATTATTGATTGGCTTATTAATACTATGGAGGTAGGTATGAGAAAAACATACATGTATCTGCCTACAGCAAAAGATGTTTGGGATGCTGTAAAACTGTCTTACTCTGATAGTAAAAGTTTCTCTCAAATTTATCTAAAATCAAAATTATGGAATTTAAAGCAGAATGTCATGGATGTCACTACCTACTATAATGAAATGATGGCCCTTTGGCAAGAGATGGATCAGTGCTATGATTATAACTGGAGGTGTACTAAAGACAGTGTTCAGTTTTTTAAGACGCAGGAGAACGACCGTGTCTTTATTTTTCTTGTTGGTCTCAACAAGGAACTCGATGAAGTAAGAGGTAGAATTCTTGAAAATAATCTGCTGCCAATTATCCGAGAAACTTTATTAGAAATCAGAAGGGAGGAGGCTAGACAAAGAGTAATGATGGGAAAGTCAAACTCAGCAACTGATGGTTATGCCCTTGTCACAAGCAACTTCAATAAACACGACAAGAAATATGGTAAGAAAGATGGTAAACTCTGGTGTGATCACTACGAACGTTATTATCACACACGTGAGACTTGTTGGAAAATTCATGGAAAGCCTCCTAATTGGAAAAAGAAGGGTGAGGGTTGTGCACTTCAAACAACTTCTGATCAAGAACCACAGTCTTCCCCAGATGCATTTCCATTCACTAAGAAACAACTAGACAGGTGAATCTAGTTTATTTTCTTCATATAAACCATGTGCAAGAAATTCCAAAATTAAAATAGCCGATGGCTCTTTTTCAGTCGTGGCAGGAAAAGGTTCTATTGTTTTGTCTCCCTTACTAACTATCCAAGATGTGTTACATGTCCCAAATTTGTCTTGCAACTTATTATTTGTCAATAAGCTAACCAAAAATAAAAATTGTCAAGCTCATTTCTTTGATTTTTCAGGATTTGATCTCGGAGAGGACGATTGGCACTGCTGAGGAAAGTGGTGGACTCTACTACTTGGAAGATGAACCAAAAACCAGACATCAATTAGGACCAATAAGTTTTTCTTCTGTTAAATCCTTTTTTGTTTCAAATAATAAGGATGACAATATGTTGTAGCATTTAAGGTTAGGCCACCCTAGTTTTAAATAGTTAAGTTCATTGTTTCCTAAACTTTTTTGTTGAACAATACATTTCTTCACTTCAATGTGAGGTTTGTGAGTTTGCTAAACACCATTGAAGTTCTTTTCCAATTCAATCTTATAAACCTTCAAAACTTTTTTCAATGATTCATAGTGATGTTTGGGGGCCTAATTATCCAACAAAAAATGGTTTATCACTTTCACAAACAATCTTACTAGACTTTGTTGAGTATACTTGTTGAAAGAAAAATCTGAGGTAGGTCAAATAATTCAAAACTTTTGTAAATTGGTGCAGACACAGTTTAACACCCAAATACAAGTGTTTAGAACTGACAATGGTTCTGAATTTTTTAATAAAATTGTTGGAAATTTTCTTCTTGAAAATTGAATTGTGCATGAAAGTTCATGTGTTAACTCACCCCAACAAAATGGGATTGCAGAGAGGAAAAACAGACACCTTCTTGAAGTTGCACGAGCACTACTCTTCGCTACCAATGTCCCTAAATACTTATGGGATGAAGTTGTCTAGACAGCTGCACATTTAATAAATCGTATGTCATCCGGTGTTTTGAAATTTCAAACTCCTTTGCAAAGTTTCTTGAAATATTTTCCAATTGCTTCAGTTCTATCTGATTTATCACTTAAAATATTTGAATGCACAGGTTTTGTTCACGAACACAAGCATTTTGGTAAACTTGAATCCCGTGCAATCAAATGTGTTTTTATTGGGTATTAATCTTCTCAATAAAGTTATAAATGTTTTGATCCTAAACAAAGAAAATATTTGTAACAATGGATGTTACTTTTTTTGAAAACAAACTTTTTTTTAGTAATGATCATCTTCATGGGGGTAACCAAATGAAAATTCCCCTGAATTGTTTGAAAACTTAGTTATCTCATAAGATGTGTATATATCACATAATTCTGTTCCATGTACAAGAAAATGCCTTGAAAAAATTAGATGAACCTACTCCTTCCATGAGTAAGGATCAATCAGAATCCGAGACAACAAATCAAAACAAAGATCAAACAAATATTTTTTCTGAAATTAATCAAAATGCACCCGATAAAGATCCTTATAATGAAATAGAAAAAAGATTTGAGGAAGGAAATCCAATTTGGAAAGGCAAAATTTATGTCAGAAGAAACAATGATCAAGTAGTAGAAGATCCTATTCCTCAGCTCAGCCAAGAATCTGAACTGAGTGAAAGTCAACCGACTCAGACAGGTAAATCTCTCCTTGATCCTAATTCTCTATACACCGACCTTGATTTTCGTAGATAACTACGGATGAAAAGGGTGCTAACACTTTCCCTTTTCATAACTTACCCCCCGAACTCAAAATCTATCAAAATTCTTTCAAGTTCTTTTCACTTTTCTTAAATATTGGATAAAAGAACTGACAATATTACAGAACTGGATATTCGGTAGCGACTCTAGCTATCCGCACATTTGGATAAAATCAAAAAGTCAGTTCTTCCACAGTATTACAGAATTGGCGACTCTACTGGGAAAATGATCAAACTTCTTTATCCGCTATGGGACCTATAGAACTTAGGAAACAATATACTGATCTTAATGCTCCCATAACCTTTAGGAAGCCAGGTAGGCCATGTACTAGGCGCCCTTTGTCTAACTTTGTATCATATTCAAACTTGTCTCCCTCTTTTGCTGCATTTACTTCTAATCTATCTAGTTTCAAAATTCCTAAGAATGTACAGAAGGCTCTAGAAATTCCAAAGTGGAAGGAAGTTGTTTTTGAGGAGATGAAAGCTCTTGAAAAAAATAAAACTTGGTATGCCACAACTCTGTCAGCAGGTAAAAGAACTGTGGGATGCAAGTGGTGTTCACAATAAAGTACAATTCTGATGGATCAATCGAAAGGTACAAAGCTCGATTGGTTGCAAAAGGATTCACTCAGACCTATGGCATAGATTACTCGGAGACCTTTGTTCCTGTTGCAAAGTTTAACACAATCAGAATACTCTTATCTCTTGCTGCTAACTTAGACTGACCTCTTCATCAGCTAGATGTCAAAAATGATTTTCTCAATGGTGATTTAGAAGAGGAAGTATACATGGATGTCCTCCAGGTTTTGAAGAAACATTTGGGTCACAGATGTATAAACTAAAGAAGTCCTTATATGGATTGAAACAATCCCTGAGAGCTTGGTTTGAAAAGTTTACTCAGTTTGTGAAGAAACAGGTATATACTCAAGGACAAGCAGATCATACTTTATTCACAAAGTCAGGTCAAGATGGAATGATAATTGTTTTGATAGTCTATGTTGATGATATTATTCTTACAGGTAATGATGAGATAGAAATGGAGAGATTAAAAAGAAAATTAGCAGCGGGTTTTGAAATCAAAGACTTGAGTCCCCTCAAATATTTCCTTGGCATGGAAGTAGCAAGGTCAAAGAAAGGAATTGTTGTTTCTCGGAAAAAATATGTTCTTGATCTCCTACAAGAGACAGGTATGAGTGGTTGTAAGCCTGCCGACACACCGATGGACCAAAGTGCCAAACTTTGGGAGAAAGGGGACACACCAATTGACACTAGATCAGAGGTTGGTTGAAAAATTAATATATTTGGCTCATACTCGTCCTGACATTGTTTTCTCTGTTAGTGTTGTGAGTCAATTCATGCATGTACCATATGAAGAACACCTTGAAGTCGTGCACAAAATCTTGAGATACTTAAAAGCAACTCCTGAATAAGGGTTATTCTTCAAGAAGTCAAGAAGACCAATGATAAAAAGGTGGCAATATTCACTGATGCAGATTGGGTAGGATCCATTATTGATAGAAAATCAACTTCAGGTTATTGCACATATGTGTGGGGGAACCTAGTGACTTGGAGAAGCAAAAAACAAGTAGTAGTTGCAAGAAGTAGTGTTGAAGCTGAGTTTAGAGCAATGACCCAAGAAATTTGTAAAGGTATGTGAATTCTCATAATCCTAAAAGAATTGAAAGTAGAGGTAGAACCCCCATTTAAATTATACTGTGACAACAAGGCAGCTATAAGCATGGCTCATTATCCTGTTCAACATGATCGTACAAAATATATCGAGATCGACCGTCATTTCTACAAAGAAAAGATTGATTATTTTCTTATTTAAGAGTCATTATATTACTTTAAGAGTCATTATATCTCTCCTAAAATAAAGGAGCTGACTTTGTTTTTTCTCTCCTATAAAAGGAGCCCTTTTTTCGTACATAATAATAAAGACAATTATCACCCATATGCTTTTCTACAGCTTGATCTGACAACTACATTTTGTTTCTTACTTTTCCAGGATATGAGATTTCCCCGAACAAGGACACAATACCCCGAGGTGGATCTTCTATCAATGAGTGATCCTACCAATCAGCATCAGAGTATCCAACTATCTGAGTATGTCCTTTGTTTTCATACACAAGACCTTTTCCTGGAGCACATTTGATGTATCTCAGAATCCGGATAACAACATCCATATGTTCCTGACAAAGAAAATTTAAGAATTGAATTACCACACTAACTGCAAAAGAAATGTCAGGACGAGTAATTGTGAGATAATTCAACTTTTCAACCAATCTCTTGTATCTTCCTTGATCAGATAAAGACTCCCCCTTATTGGATAGTAGTTTAACACTTGGATCCATATGAATATCAGCTGATTTTACATTTAACAACCTTGTTTCTTCCAAAATATCCATAGGATATTTTCGCTGGGAAATCACCAAGCCATCTTTGAATTGGTCCACCTCAATTCCCAAGAAGTAGCGGCGTTTACCAAGATCTTTTATCTGAAATTGATTCAAGAGATGTTTTAACAGGAGTATTCCCTGTTGATCACTACCAGTTATGACAATATCATCTACATACACAATAAGATAGATACACCCTTAGTTGAGTGATGATAAAATACAGAATGGCCAGCTTCACTACGGACCATATCAAACTGTTGTACTACGGTGCTGAATCTGCCAACCAAGCTCTCAGATATTGCTTAAGACCATAAAGAGACTTGTGTAGCATACAGACTATATATGAGGACTCCCCCTGAGCAACAAACCCAAGTGGTTGCTCCATACATATTTCCTCTTCAAGATCACCATGTAAAAAGACATTTTTGATGTCAAGTTGATGAAGATACCAATGTCGAATAGCTGCAATGGCTAGAAGGAGTCTAACAGATGCCATCTTGGCTACAGGCGAGAAGGTGTCGCTATAATCCAACCCAAAAATCTAAGTGTAATCTTTGACTACCAAGCGAGCTTTAAAACGATCAATCTTACCATCTGGATCAACCTTCACTGTATAAAGTCAACGACAACCTACTAAAGATTTTTCAACAGGTAGAAAACTAGTTCCCAGATACCACTTCTTTGAAGAGCACACATTTCATCAATCATTGCTTGCCTTCACTCAGAGGGAGATAATGCTTCACCTGGAGATTTAGGAATAGAACCAGAGGACAAAGAGGACAAACAAATATACTGCAAAGGTGAAAGACGATGATAACATAAATTAATATAATGTGAAGGATTTCGTGTTTGGCGTATACCTCTGCGGAGTGTAATCGGAAGATCAGACTCAGGTTGCAAGATTGAATCTGGTGATGGCGATATCGTCAGAGGAGAGTCTGCAATGACCTCAGGGACAGGTACGACCTCAGGGACATGTACGACCTCAGAGACAGGTACGACAGACGTTGATTGACGACGTGATATGTTTGAAATGGGCGAAAAGTGGGAGGTTAACCGTAGGGGCTTCTTGTGGGATAGGTTCTCTAGAATGATGAGAGATAGTGGAAAATGGGACTTCTGGAAAAGGTGTGGGAGTACTTTCCTGAAGGGGTTCCGGAGTACTTGAGTGGACACAAAATACGACACAGATTCGAAGAAGGTAACGTCGGCCGATATCAGGTATCTTGCAAAGTGTGTGAGTAGCAACGATAACTCTTTTGGGATTGATAACCAAGAAAGACACACTTTAGTGATCTAGCTGATAGTTTATCAAGACCAGAGGAGAGTTTATGCACAAAACATGTAGACCCGGAGACTTTAGGAGGAATTTGGTGAAGATGAGAGTTTGGAGACAAGATTGAATGAGAGATTTTATTATTAAGGACAGATGAGGACATGCAATTTATGAGGTAACACGCCGTGAACACAGCATCCCCCCAAAATCTGAGAGGGACATTACCATGGAGAAGTAGAGTCTGAGTGATTTCTACGAGATGCCTGTTTTTGCGTTCAACTACTCCGTTTTGTTGAGATGTATGAGGGCAAGATGTTTGGTGCAGAATACCATTGGTTGACATAATGGTTTGAAATTGTCGGGATAAATATTCACGTGCATTGTCACTTCTTAAGGTACGATTAGACAAACCAAAGTGGATTCTTATTTCTCGATAAAATTGTTCAAAAATAGAAAACAATTCAGATCTGGTAGATGACGTAGAGAAATAGTAGAGGCCTTGAGACTCACATCTGACGCCAATCATCTGTCCCGAACTCCGATCCTGCAGAATAACATCACTGTTAGTAAAAGTGATAGAATAATTAAAGGAACGAGTTAAATGTCTGACTAACAGTAGATCAAATGGAAAATTAGGTACAAATAGGACAGAAGTAACAAAGAGATATGGTAGAATTTGAACAATATTGATCCCTTAGGATCAGGTTTTAGAACCATTTGTGGGAGTTATACTCGGTAAGAAACCGGAGGTTGAAAGGGAAGAGAGAAAAAATTTATTATCAATAACATGATCAGACGCACCAGAATTGAGGACTCAAAGACCAAAAGGAGATGATTGAGAGAGCAAACAGATGAATTACCAGTGTGTGCAATTGAAATCGTGAAACCAGAGGCCTGGTTAGTCTGACACCACTTGAGAAAACCCTCGTACTTAGGCGTAGGGCTCTGAAGAGAAGGTGAAGTCTGTATAGTATCTAGGTTATCAATTTGAGCTGCATTTACCTGTCGTGGAAGTTTGCCATGCAACTTCCAGCAACGATCGATAGTATGTCCAAGCCGATTACAATTGTCACACTTAGGACGAGGTTTGGAGTTGGATGACCCTTCTCGAAGGCGATTTTGATTATTGCCAAGAGATGCAAGAGCAGCAGTGTCACCTGGTGTTGGAATAGCAATAGATGGAGGGGAAATCGGGCCAAACGCATGAGGTGTAGGCAAGCGCAACAATTATTCACTAAGTGTATCATAGTTAGGAACAGTGGTACCTGATAAAATCTGGTTACGAACAGATTCGAGTTCTAATGATAGTCTTTTAAGTATCATGATCATGATATATTTACTCTGTTGTTCGGCATGAACTGTTGCATCTTTTGCGTAAGGCATGAGGGTTGCGTAACTTGCTTTCAAGGCATCAAGCTTACTCAGATAATCTTACACATCCATATTTTCCAACTTCAGTGTGCTGAGTTTATGGATGACATTATATAGAGAATGAACGTGTTGGAAAAGACTTTCTTGCCCTTTTGCCACACCTCATAACAAGTGGAGAATGTTTGGTACTGCGCTTGGAGGTTAGGTGCTTTAGAAAACGACAACAGTACACAGAGAGGCATCAGTTTTCTTCCATTTAACGAGTTAGACTGCTACAACGTCACTCAATTTGGTAGTTAGATACTCTTCATATCCCTGACCGTGAAACCACATCTCGATAGCACAAGTCCATGTGTTATAGTTGGTTGATCCGGTTAATTTTTCACATCAGATAAGCGGAACTTTAGTAAACAAGACAGAATCAACATCTCTCATAGCTTAAAACACAACAACCGGGACTGTTTGAACTAGAGAACAGATTTCCGAGAGTCGGAGATATGGCCAGAACGAACGGCAGACACTGTTTGCAAAAAAAAATTCACCGGAAAACAGTGGGTCAGCCGGATAAAGTACGGCGAAGAATTTCCTCTTAGTAAGCTATAGATACCATGTTGAAATAGAAAATACTAAGAGACATTTAAATTAAACCGTGTGTTGAATGCCACAACAGAGAATGATATATATAGAGAAAAATACAGATCAATAGTAATAACTACATACTAAATATATAATGATTCTACTCTAGAATATATTACGGAATATTCTTAGAAAATATTCTTATTCTATATACAAATATCAACGGTTCGCAATAAAGTCAAAATGCAAAGATAAGTAGATTCTGTCGGGACAGGCACATAATTTGCAATTAGTTTGAGTCTTAATCGAAAAACATAATACCAGAAGCAATACATAGCAACTGCACCATTTCGGTTTAACCAGTCAAACTAGTTTTTTTTTTTTTTGGGTGGGTGGGTGGGGTGGGGGGGGGGGGTTGTTTTGATTTTGTAGTCTATCTATGGACAACCTTTTGTACCATGGTTTGGTGAGGGATTAAACTTGAGTTTTTTGTTCAGTCCCTCGTTCACTTTTTTGTCCAGTCCCATAGTCACTTCACAAATCAAACAAAAAAATTTTGTTGTCTTGTACAGTTCCTTGTATTTTTGCAATGAAACGCACCCATAAGATACAGAATTTTATATGCCCAGGAATGAATAGAAGAAAAAGTACTGTAGATACAAAATACTTTGAAACACTACATAGAAGAATCGGGAGTTATAGATGAGTTTATAATAGCTTCAGGACTTACAGAATCAAGCCCATCGAGATCAAAAAAGGCAGTTGGCCCCTTCTCATGTAGCATTGACAAGAGACTTGTTAACAGAACAGAGCAGTACTGCCTCCTCATTCCAACTTTCTCACTTCGGAGTAAAGCAAATATTTTACGTATGTCCTTCCCTGATATACTATGCCCACCAATGGCTTGAATTAACTGGGCAATCTGAAATATCACACTGTCATTATCTTCTTGGCAAAACCAATTCAGAAGAAAATCAAGCATCCCTGCTCTGACACAGGAAGCTCTATTAGAAATTGAATCTCTTAGTAAATGCTGAAACACATCCAGCCCATGATGCTGCAATGATTCACTGTTCTGCCCAATCACAAAATAACAAGCAATAAAACAGATGTTATTACTTTATCAAAACAAAGTTTGGCAACTACTAATTACCATATGAAAAGAAAAAAAATTAATGAAAAAGGAAACTAATTGCCAACCTTTTGCAACACAATCAGATATAGTATTATCACATCTTCATTCTGAAATCAAAAACAGAAAAAGCAGAAAAAATAAGAAAATGCTAGACTAAGATTTATTAAATGAAAACTTAACAGAACTAAATATGATACCAAAAACAATTTTTTTGTACACACAATCAGTTACACTTTATAGTACTATTCACTCTATGCTGGGCTGTCAATGACGTATAATATTTGGTTTATTCAGTTTATCATGTGGTTGATGAATTAACAATTTTGTCACATAATTTTTGTCTTCACGACTCACCAAAATGTACATGGTTAAAGAAATACAAATATTCGGTTAACTTAGTTCATTATGTGGTTGATGGGTTATCAATTTTTTTACATAATTAATTTCTTTTTTCACAACAACTAAAATGTATAGCATTGAAGTGAAACTGAATTGAGAGAAGAAAGCTAAATTTTGTTTACTGAACTGAAGCTTTTACACATTATTATCAGTTATGATGATGCAGTAGCATCTATTTATATTCTATGTCACATCAGCTAAGTCTGTTAGGCAGTTACAACAGCTGGCATTCTAATTCTAACACATGCCTATCTTACATGAAACAATAAGCTAATGTATCTAACACCATGTAACTTATCTAACCTACATACCAAGGATGGTTCAGTAAAAGTAAAACCAGTGGGCTGCACCATGTAAACTTCTTCATCTAGAGTGCCATTTAAGAAGGCATTATTTACATCAAGTTGCTTAATGGGCCACTAGTTAGTAATAGCCAAAGTCAGAATTATGCAAATAGTCACAGGTTTTATAACAGGAGAAAATGTCTCATGAAAATCAAAGTCATGCACTTGGTGAAAACCCTTTGCAACCAACCTGGCCTTATACTTGTTTATAGAACCATCAGCATTTTCCTTTAGTCTAAATACCCATTTACAGCCTATAGCTTTCCTATGGGGTGGTAGAGTGACAAGGGACCAGGTTTGGTTTTTGAGTAAAGCTTGGTATTCAGCCTGCATAGCTGCAAGCCAATTAGGATCTTTAAGGACCTGTTTGGCAATTTCAGGTTACAGAGGAGGTAAATATACCAGTCGTGGATCTGGTTTGCATAGGATGAGTGTTTTGAGCTGGAAAGGGAATGGAGTTTGATGAGTCAGATTGAGAGGAGACAGTAGGAGAAAATAGAGGTGAGTCTGGGGATGAAGGTGATGTTGAAGAGGTAGGGGCAGAATGAACAGCAGATGCAGTAGATGATTGAATAGGGGACTGTGTAGGAGACTGAATAGGTAACTGTGGAGAAGGTGGTGTAGGAGGCTGTGATTGGGGAGATTTGTGGGGAGGGATTAGGATTGGGAAGAGGGGTAGGGGCTTGAGGACATATCATGGGAATGGGACTAATGGATATTGATTTAGGAACAGAAGTGGGTGGCTGAGTTTTGTGAAAGAATAGGTCATTGTAGGGAAACCTAGATTCATTAAAAATGACATCTTTGGAAATGAAAATACGACCACTAGGAGAGAGACATTTGAACCCCTTGTGGGAGGTGGAACACCCCAAAGAAAAGACATTCATGAGACTTGAAGTCAAACTTATGGGGGTTGTATGGACTTAATAGAGGAAAACAAGCACACCCAAAGACTTTGAGAAATTGATGATAGAAACCAACCGATATAGAATAGAAAATAGGGAAACTCCCTTGAATTACAGAATAGTACCACAGAATTTCGAGGATCTGCGCCTCCCTATGTCAAAATGGCCCCTTTTCCTATCCAATTCCCATATCATCAACTCCCTAATATCTTCCCCTAATTATTCTACACCTAAACACACTTAATTAATAGTATAATAATTACCCACTAACTCTCCTAATAATTTAATAACAGTTACAGTAACTAAAGAGTCTAACAATACTCCGTCCCTAAAGATTCACCTTGTCCTCAAGGTGAAAGAATGAATCCTCCCGGATCCCATAATTTGAAGCAAAAGGATCGAGTTGTACATGAAATATGAAAATTTTCTCCTGAATTTGCTTGCTGCCAGCAGCCCTCTAGTGAATGGTTGTTGGGACGATGGCAATACCAACAGTGAAACTTTCTTGTTCCTAGAATTTACCTTAGAAATAGCAGCAAACACCATGTGAAACCTGATGTACAGTGATTTCGACAGTGGTAGATGTTGGTCTAACAATTCTGTGGTGGCCACTCATTTGCTTCTTCATTCTCTATTGAATCAGGCCCAAACTTCTTGAGAATTTCCTCTTTAAAATTTCTCCAAGTGGCACTTGGATTGGCCATATGACGGCTTTACCACTCACCCACTGCACAACTCTTGGTATTTGATCTTCTTTGCATACACCTCCTGCCTCAAAATATTTCTCAACCTTGACCATCCATCCAACAACATTCATTCCTATTCAAAGATTGGTATTTTTATTTGTAACTCTTTGAGTTCTCTTCTCCAATCTCTAATTTCTTTCAACACTTCATCAACAAGGTCAAACATTCCTTCCATTCTTGATGACAACTCCATTTTTTTAATGTTCTTTTTATTTCCTCTCCCGGATCAGAAGTGCTCTGATACCAGTTGATAGAAACCAACTGCTATATAAAAGAAAATAGGGAAAATCCCTTGATATTGCAGAACTTCGAGGGTCTGCACCTCCCTAATGCCTAAATGGCCCCTTTACAAGTCTAATTTCCAAGATAATCATCTACCCAATGCCTTCCCCTATTTACTCTAGACTTAAACACTCTGAATTAAAATATAATAATTATAATAATTACCCACTAACCCTCCTAATAATTTAATAACAATTACAAAACTGAAGAGTCTAACAATTGACAATCAGGGTGTCGACCAAAGAGACTAAAGTATGGGGTATTGTGGTTAATGGAGGCAGAGGGCAGTCTATTGATTAAGTAGACAGCTGGGCATGACTCAATAAGGTATGGCCTAGGTCAACCATGTGCCGATGTTTACGTTCAACAACACCCTTTTGGTGATGGGTGTGGGGACAAATGAGTCGATGAATGATACCTAGTTCATTCAAAAACTTGGTGAAGGGTCTGAATTCACCTCCCCAATCAATTTGAAAAGACTTCAATGGGGGAGACAAAACTAAAGTTCAACCATAGCCTTAAACTGTTTGAAAATGGGGAGAGTCAGACTTGCTTTTGACTTTGACGAGGTATATTTTTTACTTTGACGAGGTATATCCAAGTAAACCTAGTGGCTGCATCTACAAAGATAATATAGTAAGATGGTTTGAAGAAGAGACAGGTGCAGGACCCCATAGGTAGTATAAACAAGTTCTAAAGGTGTAGAGTAATGAGTAATGGATGGTGGTGCATATAAACGATGGGTTTTACCCATACAGCAAGCAGCACAAAATTCAGAAACAACTTTATTACTAATTGAAATGTTACACTGTTTTAATACAAGATGTAAGGTATTGGGATTTGGATGACCCAACCTTAAATGCCATGTAAACTGGGACTTGGGAGACAAGATATGAGGAGTACAGTTAACAGAATGTGAAGCATTACAATCAGGAGAACTAGACACTAAACAAGAAGGAGAGCTTGAGCTTGACAGTTTGGTAGCAGCCTTGGAAAAGCATACAGTCCATCACTGCCTACAGAGCCTTCTAGCAAGATTTGGCTACTGTTCTGAGATTTCACAAAACACTTATCAGCATGAAACTCAAAATAAATAGAGTTATCTTTAGCAAATTTCCTAACACTAATGATATTTTTCGTAATAGATGGCACTAGTAAGAGTTTATCAAGAACAAAAGAGGTGTTAGGATTGGAGGGAGAAGGAAAAGTAGAGGAACCAGAAGAGGTAATAGATAAACCTTGGTCGTTTCCTATGAAGATCTAGTCAGGACCTTCAATAGGAGCACATTGTTAAATGTTGCGAGAGTTATTGGGGACATGGACATGATAGGATGCTCCAGAGTCTGGAAACTAGGAGATGTTAGCCGAGGGATTAGAGCTGGTAAGCATAGCATTAGGTTGAGGATAAGGTTGTGGTGGGGAGGACTGTGTGTAATGTGAAGGATAGGAGGATGGTGGTGGTCTAGGGTGCATGTTAGGTCTAGGTAAAACTAGTAGGTGTATATGAGTTATTATAGGCATTTTTGGAAAACTGAATATCCCATAAACTCACAAGGAACAGGTGCATAAAAGTGTTGATTGAACCTGTGATAACAATTAGTAGCAATATGTCCAAATTTGAAACAAACTTGACATTGCATACTACTATGGCGACCACGGCCACGGCCACCACGATAGCCAGTACGACCACCTCTTCCAAAGCCATAGCTAGAAGGTGTGAGAGGGAGACGAGTCATAAGAAGATACCTGTGTAGAAGTAGAATTATTCAAATCAGGCGTACCAGAGGAAGGATCTAAACCAGGTTTTGACTGAGTGAGATTGATTGAAGCGTTGTCAACACTTGAGATCTTTTCGAACCTCTCGGAACGCAGTTCATGAGCATATAGCAGAGCCTCCACTTCCTCAAGTTGAATAGGCTCAAATTTGCTTTCTATAACGGAAATAATTGGTCCATATTCATGAAGCAGACCTTCAAGCACAACAACGTGTTACTGCGAAGGAATCGGATCTCCTACACGCGAGTTCATCAATTAGAGCCTTTACACAAAGCAAATAGTCTTCGACTGATGAATCACCAAGAACTGTGGTGCGAAGCTCACATCGCAACAGACGAGCCTTCGCACGAGTGAGTTTTTGAAAATGAGCGTGAATTCGCTCACATAGTTTGAAGGATTTGATGCATCCAAGAACGTGAAACACGAACGAACTAGATAACGTCGATTGCAACCAGGATAAAAGCCACTGATCTTGACGAAGCCATATGTGATATTCAGGGTTTTCGATTCGAACTGTAGAGTTAGGGTTTTGAATAAACTGAGAAGGAATTGTAGGAAAGTAGATGAAATCTTGAAGATTATGAGCATTGATTGTTGGCGCCAATCAGAAAATTCTTTTCATTGAGTTTTTCCGAGATCTTGAGCTAGAACTTAACGTGAGGTAAGTCACCATCAGAGGGAGGAATGAGTCACCGGAGTAGGTGGTGATGGTGGTGGTGGAGGGGAAGAATGAATTTTAGTCTCATCCAAGGATCGAACATGAGCTCTATGATACTGTATTGAAGTAAAACTAAATCGAGAGAAGAAAGCTAAATTCTGTTTATTGAACAGAAGCTTTTACACATTATCAATTATGATGCAGTAGCATCTATTTATATTCTATGCCACGTCAACATCAGCTAAGTCTGTTAGACAGCTACAACAGTTGGCAGGCAGTTACAACAGCTAGCATTCTAGTTCTAACACATGCCTGTATTACATGAAACAATAAGCTAAATTATCTAAATATAGTTAATGACATACAAAATATTTGGTTAATTCAATTTGTTATGGGGTTATTATTAATCACTAACTAGATTCAAGTTAACCACTTTCAACACTGTATTAACCACTAATATCAACCAAATTAACAATGTGTCAATCATGATCTTTAATAACTATTTCACACGTGGTTAATATAGTATCAAAGCAACTCGTTAATTGTTTAATGAATTTAAGTAACCAAGTATTTACAAGTCATTAATTAGACACTTATTAGTGAATTGTGAAAAATATTGCATCAAAATAACCACATAATAAACTAAATCAACCAAGTATTTATAAGTCATTAACCATGTACTTTTTCGTGGTCGTAAAAAATAGAAATCATTATGACAAAAAAGTGATAACTCGTTAACCACATAATGAACTGAATTAATCAAGTATTTGCATGTCCTTAAACATGTAACTTTAGCGATTGTCAAAATTATTAAAAATTGTCACAAAAAAAATGATAACTCATCAACCATCTCACAATTTGGATTGGGCCTAACTTATCCTTACAAAACCAACTTGTAAGGTGTGGCACGCCCCCACTTATAAACACAACACAGGTCATATCTCTAAGCAATATGAGACTAAATTCACCCCTTCAAAGCCAACACAATGAAGGAGTCAGAGGCTGCAGTGAAGGCAAGTCAAAGTGTCGCAATTAAGGCGACTAGGGGCGGACCGCAATTAAGGCGGAAATTCCAACAAACCACTTTAATAAACTGAATCTCGGCAGGCATTAATCACATGACATTCCGTGACCAGTAACATATAGTGTCACTGGAATATGAAACAGTGCAAGTGGATAAAAAAAAAGTACTAGTTAGTAAATCACCTTAATTATAGGACTGATCTTGATATCAAATTTACCATCAACAAGCATATCAAGCAAAGCATCTAAAAGGCTTTCACTTGAATGCCACTGGCAAAAATCCAATAGCAGGCTTTGCAGAGTCTGGTACCCCTTTCCAGCTAGAGCTCTAAAAGCGGCCTGCCAGAGATAGTGAACAGTAAGTGAACTTTTGAAATGAAGGTTATTGATACAAACAAGAAAGTACAAGATCTCGATAACTATATAAATATCAAACCCTGTGTTAAAATGCAAAACAGACTACAATCTGAAAAAAAATTGAAGACAAAAAATGCTATCAATAGGCAAACAGTCAAACCTCGGATTTGTCATTTGCATGCTAATATGCAACTGTTTATAATGTTCAACTAGTACCTTTTACTGTATAGGATAAGGTTTACTGCACAAAACAAACATCCCACCGCTGCAAAACAAAACTGACCATAAAGGAGCCTGTCTAGTTTAAAGCACGAAAATATGAGACCCCTGTGTAAGGGGAGGTTCAGTAACAATAACTAGGACGATGCATTCCTAAAAAAGCATCAACTAAGTCACTAGTTCTTGGACCAAAGGGCAATTGGAGGGTCATTTAGACATGATTCATTTGAGCCTATATATTTTTGTTGTTTGTAGAGATCACATGCCTCTGTAGCATTTAGGGCTCTAACCTTTCCATGAGAGAAGAACCCTCAGCTCTTCAAAATCACAGATAGAAGACAACCAAAATAATTTGAAAATGAAGAATCATAGGTTCAACAGTACAGGTATGCTGGATTAGTTTATTGTGTTAAAAAAAGCATTTAATGAACTCCAGAGAGATTTAAAAAGAAATGATTATTTCCCCAGCATTAATCATTACCCAACATGCATTAGAACTAGGGGTGAAAATAGGCTAGGCTATATAAGGCCTGAACCTGGCCTAAGATAAACTTAAAAGGTATGAGCCTGGCCTATGGCCTATTATAGACTCTTTTTCTTGGTCTGACCTGACCTTTTTAAAAGTCTGGCCTGGCCTGAAAGCCTATTTAAAAACCTATTTCTCATTAAGGTTTTCAATTAATCCATATTACTTAAGAAACCTTATACACCGGCCTATATATGCATATATAGGCCGACCTATTTAGTCTTTGTTCTAATATATATGCATATATAGGTCATCCTATTTAGCCTTTTTTTCTAATATATATGCACATATAGGTCAGTCTATTTAGCCCATTTTTAATATATATGAAAATATAGATCAACCTTATAGGCTTTTTTAATAGCCCAAGTCTGAACTATTTAATTAAATAGACTTTTAAGAAAGCCTAAGCCTGGCCCTTTTATTAAATAGGCCTGGTCTGGCCTTAAAAAGGCTAGGCCATAGACCCCTGTAAGCCGGTCTGGCCTTAAATAGGCTAGGTCATAGACCCCTGTAGGCCGGCCTGGCCTATTCCCATAACCATCACTTTTAGGTTAACAACACACTGTCAAATCCATGAAAGAGCATCTGATAAGCCTAGGCCACCCATCACCAAGTTTTACACCCGGAAGCAGCAATGCCCAAGGAGTGCAGAGTCAAGAGATGCGAGTCAGGGGGCGTGACCCTTGGTGAACAGACACACCCACCCGAAAGGATGCAACCCTTGGAACCAAACAGCATCAAATCTAACAGTCACAACCCTTCAGATCAATTGTGCCAATTAGAAACAGATGTTAAATGCAGTATAAATAGAAGTGAACCAGAATTAGGAAATCATTCTGAAAAATTAGGAAGAATTTGAATTGTGGAGAGCGCTCTCGAAAACCTGTGTTGTAATATTCCAAAATTATCTATATAAATTTCATGTTTTCATCTTTTCATTTTTGTTCCATTTTTTTGGTTCTTATCAATTGGTATCAGAGCACCATCCAGGTGCTTTGCTTCCAACTATGGTGACAAATCGATCTAATTCCGAAAATCCAGACACAATGGAGAGAATTTTGAAAATGTTGATGGCGGACCGACAAAACCGAGATGCAGAACGACAATAATTCGAAACACACTTTGCACGCCTAGAAGCTATGGTGGAAAATTTGTCCAAGCATTCAGAAGATGGCACACCCAAAGGTTCCATCAATGGAGAACATTCAATCAAGGTCCACACCGGAGAAAGAAAAACAGAACGTTGGAGAAAATTGACAATCCTCATATATGATGGAGAATCTGATGCTTATGGCTGGATAAATAAATTGAAACGCTTCTTTCAAATGAGAGACACACTAGAAGAAGAGAAAATCCAAGCAGTTATGGTGGCTCTTGAGGGAAAGGCGCTATCTTGGATGGGAAGATTTCAAACTTACCATTCTTGGAAGGTTCCAAACTTCGGCAACTCTCAACCCTTTTGATGCCCTCCTTCCACTTAAACAAGAAACGGTGGAAGAGTACGTTGAACAATTTAAAAAGTTTGCATGTATGCTGAAAAATGTCGATGAAAAACATTTAAAGGACATTTTTGTGAACGGATTAAAGGAAGACATCGGGGCAGAAATTAAACTCTACGAACCACCAACTTTTGCAATCATGGTCAAGAAGGCATTAATGATCGAACAAAAAAATAGAGCAATTTGGAAAGTGGGACCGAATGCTCCTTCTATCTCAAATTCAAAATTCAACAACTCGTATCGAAGTCCATCCTATTCAAAAACTGTTACTTATGGTGTTAGTCATAAAGGTGGAAGAAAAAGTAATGGTCCTTCCAATTCTTTTGTGGGCAGTGTATCCGTGAACACACCAGAGAACAGCAACCAACCTAGAGGATTTCAACGATTAACCGAAGCAGAACTTCAAGAGAAGAGGAAGAAAGGAGAATGTTTTCGTTGTGAAGAAAAATGGAGCACTTCTCATGTATGCAGAAATAAACAACTTCGGATAATGTTAGTAACAGATGAAAATGATGTTGAAAACTCTGAAGAGGAGCCCGAACCAGAATTTGGAGAAACGCCCCAATTATCCATGAATAGTATTATGGGATTTACGTCTCGCCGGTCCTTGAAGGTTTGGGGAAGTATTAATGATAACAAAGTCATAGTATTGATAGACTACAGCGCCACCCACAACTTCATTTCAAAGGAACTGGTGGAAAGTTTACAATTAGAGGTGGAAGACACTTTATCATACGTTGTAGAAGTCGGAGATGGTCACAAAATCAAATGTAAGGGAGTATGTAGAAAGGTTCCCTTGAAAGTGCAAGAAGTACAAGTTCATCAACTGTTTTTCTTGTTTGGCCTCGAAAGCGTGGATGTGGTTTTAGGCATGGAATGGTTAGCAAGCTTGGGAGAGATTAGTGCCAACTTTGAACAACTAATGTTGGGCTTTAAGATTAACAGAAAAAAAAAGGTTATTTTAAAGGGAGAACCAAAACTTTCAAAGAAAGATGCCTCACTTAATTCTATGTTGAAAGCTTTGCAGCAAGGAGAAGGGTTCCTTATCGATTATCGTCATATTCAAGCGGAGATAGATTGGAAGGATTCAATCCCAACATAATTAAAAGATGTGCTACACGATTTCCCTTCCATCTTTGAACCCCCAGAAGAACTTCCTCCTCATCAGCGTCAAGACCGTGCCATTCACCTCAAAGAAGGAGCCCAAATACCGAATATCAGACCATATAAATATCCTCACTATCAAAAAAACAGAAATTGAAAAATTGGTTGCAGAGATGTTAGAAGCGGGAATCATCCGACCATCTACGAATCTTTATTCTAGTCCTGTCATCCTAGTCAGAAAGAAAGACGGTAGTTGGCGGTTTTGTTTAGATTACAGGGCCTTGAACAAAATCACTATTCCCGACAAATTCCCCATCCCGGTGATTGAAGAGTTGTTGGACGAAAGGAGGGGCCAACATCTTTTCAAAACTGGATTTAAGATCCGGATACCACCAAATCAGAATGAAGGAAGAGGATATTGCAAAAACTGCTTTCCGAACACATGAAGGTCATTATGAATTTATGGTACTTCCATTTGGACTTACTAACGCACCTTCTTTTCAATCATTAATGTCGGTACTCCGAAAATACGTTTTGGTATTCTTCGATGATATCCTAATATACAACTCTTCTATGGAAGAACACAAGCAACATCTGCAAAATGTATTAGCATTACTCCAACAAATTGAATTAAAGATCAATGGCAAGAAGTGCTTATTTGGCCAAGATAACTTGAAATACCTGGGACATGTTATTTCTGCTGGAGGAGTACCCGCAGATCCTAAGAAGTTGGAAGCAATGACGCTATGGCCTTCACCCAAAGATGTCACCAGCTTAAGGGGATTCCTAGGCCTTACTGACTATTATAGGAGGTTTGTTCATGATTATGGAAGAATAGCAAGGCCAAATTGACCAACCTGTTGAAGAAAAATGCCTTCCAATGGAGTTCAGAGGCACAACTTGCATTTGAACAACTAAAGCAAGCCATGACCAATTTGCCTACATTAGCAGTACCCAACTTTTCAAAGCCTTTTGTGGTTGAAACGGATGCTTGCGGAGCTGGACTAGGGGTTGTTCTAATACAAGAAGGAAGACCCCTAGCCTTTTGGGGTACTACCCTATCAGAAAGGACTCAGGAAATCAGTGTATGATCGCAAATTGATGGCAGTCGTAAAAGCAATTCAGAAATGGCGACACTACTTGTTGGGAAACCATTTGATTATTAAAACTGACCAAAAAAATTGGAAATTTTAGACATATCAGAGGATGATCGGTGAGGAACAACACAAATGGATTTCCAAATTAGCAGGATATGATTTTGAAATCCAGTATAAACCAGGGAAGGAAAACTCTGCCGCTGATGCCCTATCCAGGAGAAGTTCTTATTGTGCCATGACAGTCTTACAAATTCATGATTTAGAGGAATGGGCTGAAGAGGTCAAACAAGATGTCAAGTTACAGAAAATCATGCAAGACCTAATTATCAATTCCATGTTTCATGTTGGCTACACGTTAAGGGATCAAAAACTATTTTACAAGGAGAAATTGGTGTTGTCCAAATCGTCCTTCAGAATTCCCATCATTTTAAAAGAATTCCATTCATCCTTGGTAAGAGGAGGACACTCGGGGATCTTCAGGACTTATAAAAGAATAGCAGATCTAGTTTATTGGGAAGGGATGAAAACTGACAACAAAAATTCCGTTGCAGCTAGCAAAGTCTGTCAAAGAAACAAAAGCGACAACTTATCACCAGCAGGACTGCTATAGCCATTACCAATTCCTACTCAAGTATGGACAGACATTCGATGGATTTTATTGGAGGACTACTCAAATCCATGGGGAAAGATACAATTCTGGTGGTGGTTGACCGGCTCAGCAAATATGCCCACTTCATAACATTAGGGCATCCTTATACTGTTACCGATGTTGCTGCAGTTTTTCTACAGGAAATTGTAAGATTGCATGGATTTCCGTCTTTCATTATTTCGGATCGCAATTCTTTGTTTTTATGCAATTTTTGGAAAGCCCTTTTTAAAGCAGCAAGTACACAACTAAAATTCAGTTCGGCATACCATCCTCAAACGGATGGACAAACGGAAGTTGTCAATCGATGCTTGGAAGTTTATTTACGATGCTTAACAGGTACTAAGCCTAAGAAATGGGTCTCTTGTCTTCCCTGGGAAGAATTCTGGTTTAACACCAATTATAATGCTTCAAGCAAAATATCCCCTTTCAAAGCGTTGTTTGGACATGATCCACCTCATATTCTTAAGGGATCCACCATTTCTTCCCGCCTTGAAGAAGTCAACAAACATACAATTGCTCGGGATGAAGTACTGGCGGCTCTGAGAGAGAATTTGTTGAAGTACCAAGATGTCATGCGCGCAAATGCTAACAAACGTCGTCGAGATATAGAACATGAAATCGGTGATTGGGTGTTCTTGAAGATGCAACCCAACAGAATTAGATCCTTTGGTAAAAGGATTAATGAAAACTCTCCCCTCAATTTTATGGCCCTTTCCAAGTGTTAAAAAAAAGTGGGTGTTGTTGCTTACAAATTTGATCTTCCATCTCACAGTAAAATTCATCCAGTATTTCATGTCTCTCTCCTCAAGAAGGCCATTGGGGATTCTTTCCAATCCCAATCTTTACCATCTATGCTATCTGAGAATCAGGAATTACAGGTTTATCCAGACTCTGTTTTAGATATTCGTGAATTACACTTGGCAACGTTGAAGTCTTAGTTAAATGGCAGAATCTCCCTACAAGTGAAAATAGTTAGGAATCTTGAGGACAAGGTGAGTCTTTTAGGTGGGGGTATTGATAAGCCTAGGCCACCCATCACCAAGTTTTACACCCGCAGGCAGCAATGCCCAAGGAGTGCAGGGTCAAGAGATACGAACCAGAAGGTGTGACCCTAGGTGAACAGACACACCCACCCGCCCGAAAGGATGCAACCCTTGGAACCAAACAGCATCAAATCTAACAGTCACAACCCTTCAGATTAATTGTGCCAATTAGGAACAAATGTTAAATGCAGTATAAATAGAAGCGAACCAGAATTAGGAAACCATTTAGAAAAATTAGGAAGAATTTGAATTGTGGAGAGACAGACTCTCGAAAACCTGTGTTGTAATATTCCAAAATTATCTATATAAATTTAGTTTGCATCTTTTCATTTCTGTTCCATTTTTTTTGTTTCTTATCAGCATCAAAGAAGAAGGTTTAATTTATTTTTATGGTTCAATGCTCTTCAAAGTGTGACAATATTACTGTTGAGTGTTGACTTTTAAATACAGCATTAAGCTAGTAGCCTTTCTTCCCTTTTCCATTCACATAAAAATTTATACATACTATTACCTATACTACCACAAAAAATGGGGAAAAAACTTATTTTCCTTTGTTTTTTACTCAACAACCACATAGCCTGCCAATTTTTCATCTGAGAATACAGATAAAGAGATAAAAGGCATCTAGAAAATCAAAATTCACCATTTCCACGAAAGAAAATTTTTTTGACATCAAGTTCATCACACTTCTATTCCTCTTTGATTTTTTTAATTTCACTAAAGATCAAATTATCAAAAGAGCAAAGAGGATTGAAGCACAAAAGAGATCAATAAATCATCCTTATTTGATTCGAGATGTAACAAAGCCATTTGTTTGCATAAGCCTTTCAAGGGAATTAGTTCTTATGGTGGTATGACAGGTCCTTGACCAAGTAATCAGAAGTTCTATTCTTTCACCCATTTTTCTAAATAAAATTAATTTTCAGCTCATAATGATAACGGAGTTGCTGCATGAGGGGCATTATAGAGATGTAATCTGTCTTTACCAGCACAACAGTAAAACACAGTCAAAGGAAAACTTAAGAAAGAATTTTCTGACTAGACATAACAACAGTACAATCTACATACGCACTTAGTCAAAACAAAATGGGAAAAAAAAAACAAGAAATAGTAATGTGGTGCATAGAACTATTACCACACGAGGGAAGAAAAAAGGAGAAATATAAGACAGCAATGAAGAAAGCACCTTTGAGGTATCGTTATTTGCAAGCAGACGAGTAAGTGTTTGGAGTACATTTAAAACTAATCTTTCCCCATTTTCCTTGTCTAGATCGCTGTTAAGTAATGATACCACATGCAAAAAGCATTCCCCATCACGAAACAGTGCCTGATAGTACTGAAACATTAAAACATCAAAGAGAATCATTCAGTAAAATTGCAAAAGGCATATTCATTTAAACTAACAAAATTGAGAAATAAATCAGCATAGGATGCATACTGCTTGATTAGCCAGAAGCATATCTCTCATTCCAGCCAACATATCAATAGACAGATCAACAAAAAATTTCTCCCGTTCTTTTATTTGTGTGAACATTTCTAAATACTTAGAGCATAACTGTAACTTTGCTTTTTTATCTTCCTCCGAGAATGGCATAATCTGAAAAATAACAATATTAAATATAGCAACATAATATATAATACTCACAAGATAAATATAACCTAGAATATGAATTCCAAAGTTACGCTATAGTTCAACAGCCAAAATCAAGTAACACTAAATTTTCACCTTCATGAGATCAAGTATGTGCCCAAGCACATCATCTCTCAAACCTTCTATCCAAAATAAATCAAACAAGCAATCAATGCTTGCAAGACTCTGCAATATAAAACTCTTTGTATCTTCAGATGATGCAGAAAACTTAGTAAAGAACTCCATGCACATTTTCATGCAACCAAACCAATTTAGCACTGTCTCAGGTGAATTGCATTTTTGTTGATCAGGCACCGATTCTGAAAATTCCAAACCACTATTTACACTGGAGGGGTTCATACTTCCAGATCTTTTACACTCTAGTGCTTGAACACAAGCAACTTGTAAAACCCGAGAAACTGCATTCAAGGTTTTACAAGAAGTAATAGTTTTCTCGGGGGAGAGCTGCAAAATATGAACCAAACTCCTGACAAGAAGACCAGCAATTTCAGAATTACAAGCAGAATGGTCAAGTGCATCCAGCAGAGCAGACAATTCAGTCTGTAATCAAAATAAGGTAAAATTAGGACACTCTAGACAAGTTGAATTCAATTGAAAAATGCATGCACCACAAATATTAAAATATAAAAAGAAAATTAAGATAATGAATAGATATTAGATATAAATGATCGACACACAAATGCAAAAGACATGCACACAGTAATGTTACTTCAGCAAAATAATAATGCATAAAGCAAATTAACAAGACAGATAACTTATCAAAAAAGAACAAGACAGGTAGCACATAATATAAAACAAATATCCAACATGTGTGGCATACGAAAAATCTTTTGCCAAGTTACGGCACTTCTGTTTTGTAAAATGATTTTATAATTTATTATCTATTATGAACAAAAGTCTACATACTTAAAAAACATTTGTCTATAAATTACTGCCCCCCCTGCTCCATAGCTTCACACATAGATTTCACCTACCTATCTTTTATCTCTCTTTCAACAGATATGAAATACTCCCTCCGGTCATAATTATAAGCCAAAATAACTACTTTCACACATATTAAGAAAGTTAGTTAAGTGTAATTAATTTTCTTGATTTCATGTCCAACCAAAGTAAAATTTACATGAATCAACTAACAACATTAAATGCTTGACTTAAATTAAGGGTATAATAGTAATATAAACATTAATTAGTCTAAAAGTTAATACTTTTTTGCTTATAATAGTGACCAAAATTTTAGGTTTTTTTTTTCTTATAATAGTGACCGGAGGGAGTATGTGTTTAAGCCTCAATTTCATAAAATAAAAGAAATTTTAGGAAAATATACATCCTAGAAGAGGGAGGAAGGACCCACCATGTTGTGTGTATTTCCATTAGAAGTTGCAGCAAATTCCAAAAATGAGATTATTTCCAATTGCAGACTATTAACCCCATGGACTTCTGGTGTATCAATAGTGCTACTTGAAGCCGTCAACAATTCGGACTTCTTATTGTATGCAAATATCTGTCCAGCAGTTTCTTTGGAAGCTGATTCAAAGTAAAAGAAATTTTCTGAAAAGATGAGATCCCATAGTCCTTCTTCACGGAAAATTTCAAGTGACACGGGAGAAGTAGAAAGAAGACTTCTAAATGCACTGAGAACTTTGTTCTGTAAAACAGTGACAAAAACCCTGGAAAAAAAAATGGGAAGAAAAACAGAAACAAAAATCAGTTCAGTATATGCTGCTTCAATTTCATAACCATAGTGACGGAGTAATTTGCAACAATTGTTATTGATAGTTAATTAAGACTTTTCAGCAAACAGCACAAGAAAAGACACTGCAAACCAGTGATAAAATTCACCTTAAATAGCTTGGCAACTCATTCTGATTTGAGCAAGCTTTGATACAGGGAAATATTGTAAAAAGAACTCTCATGAACCATTTGATTGACAATTCGCAATATGATGAGGAAACAGGAAATGCAAGTCGACCAGAAGATAGTTGGATATTAAGAGATTTAGAAACTCCAGGAATTATAAGAAAGGAACAGAGACTTCTGCTAAGTGTAAGGACATAATCATTCCAAAAATGAGAAAAAGAAGCATTAGGTGGAAGGCCAGCAGAAGCCGTCGCTGGATCAGATTTCATATAATTTTCCTTTTCGTGAATGTCACCAGGAACACTGACAGCCTGCTGTTCAGCGATATCTCCCCCGTGTCTCAAATCTTGAAGTACAAAAGCCGGCGAACAAAAACTATTTGCAAATTTATGTACCCTACCATTTTCACAAAGAAATTGCAAATTGTTCATGTTCCCAAAGCTGTATTATGGTCAAGGTCTCAAACATCAATAAATGTATTGCTAAATTTTAATGAGATTCAATACCAAACCAGTTTCCAAAAAGGAAAGGGCAAAACAAATGCAAAATGGATGATGTTAACATATACCCCATGGGAATGAAATTCAGAGAGGAATAATTAAGAATGACAAACAAATATAGCTTGTGTAAATACACTTAAATGTTTCGAAACTTTAGTATGCAATGGTGTTGATGCAATAGAACTCATCAAAAAATGATGGCAAATGAAAAGTGAAAGTCATCAAAAATTCACAAAATCATTAACAATGAAGGATACACAGCCTCCCTTAAAACTTCCAGAGCAAGAATATGAAGCTGAAATATTTTTTGCAGTGGTTTATCATCCCTGGAAAAAAAACAAGCAAAACTATTGAGATATTTACTGAGTTTATTCTTGTATATAATTATGTTTTTATTAAGACATAATGTCCATATTTATGATAGAAACTGGTATCTATGATGAATGAACTAAAGAAAAGGAAACAGAAATATAGAACAATCCTTTGCAGAATTTGTCCAGAACAACAATTTATATTATTAATATTGAATTAACATACTAGTACATCAAAGAAAGTTTAGAGAGACAATGATAGAATAGATATAAAGCAATTTTTATCCAAGAAATTAGAGTCTTGGTCTCTCACTCCAAGAATTTGAGAGTTTGGTCTCTTCCTCCAAGAATTCGAGAGTTTGGTCTCTCCCACCCAAAACCACTCAATAACTATCCATCCCCAGTTTCTCCTGTCCTTTCCCTATTTACTCCTAAATAATATAACCGTCATATTGACCTCTCATAACTGCCATTGGAAGAAGTCTAACAATTTATTCACTTGATTTTCGTTGTACAGCTTTTGTATAAATAATAAATAATATCAAGCTGAGATCTAATCTCAAGTCTCAAGTCATTCAGTACCACAACCCTATTCTAAAGTTGGTACCAGAGCTCACAATCATTGTGCCTGTCAAGAGTGTCAAAACCTAGCCGAAACACATGACCTTAGGTGAAACAATGAACCCACCATCAGACTCACTGTCGTCGGATCAACCAGTCCACATAGTCCAGCCGTCAACCGCAGCCTCGTGTGCCGTCAAGTGCGTTTCTTTTGCCGTCAGTCTTATCAGAGCGTGAAGGCCCTCCTCGAGACCTCGAATGAAGTCGCCGCTGGTTCCATCTGCTTGTCAGACACTGCTCTTCCTGTTTCGACCTAGTTTGGTCAGTGGGTCTCACTCTCTCCAGTGTTTTCTTAGCATTTTTGGTACTGCCTGAGCGTTTTTTGGTACTGTTCATGCATGTTCTCTTTGGTGCTGATTCTTCTATTATCATCAAAGAGGAGTTAACATTTAGATCTTTGAAAATAAAAAGACAATAGCAAGTCTGGATCTTCCGGTAAGAGCCTCGTTTCCTTCGTTTTCTTGGGCCATCCCATTATAACATCCAAGAAACTCGACGGTGAGAATTATGTGGTTTCTTTGGGAAAAAAAACTCAGATCATCTCACTGATTTGATTCCTTGTATATAATTGTTTTTAATACGATCGATTATATCCATATTTATTCCTTTAATCAAGGAATTCTTCTTCTACAGCTTTCATTATAAATAATATCAAGCTGAGAACTAATCTCTCAAGTCAGTCAGTACCATAGCTCTATTCTCAAATCAAACCAATTTATCAAAGACAGGTTTGATATGATAATGTATATAATCCCAAAATAGTGTGCTCGAGTAGTGACAGAAGTAGCAAAATACCAGATAACTTTACCAATATATTTAATACAAGCCAAAACCAGTATAAGAGATAACATATGAGTGTTGTATTAGTATTTATAACAGACAACAGACTCAGAATATGATGCATAAGCTCATACACTTCATCAGCACCGAGCTAGTCATCTAGTTATCGAACTCAAACTTTAAAAGTTGCAACAGTCCCTCGAGAATAATGCATATACAATTTTTTAAGAGAACCACGCCATCTCCTTCCACTAAACTAACTAGAGAATAATTGGCATGAAGTACATATAACAATACCTGAATCCATTAGTCAAAACAAATTTACTGTAAGTTGTTGCATAATTTGATGGAAATCCAAGACCATCCAGCAGCACTTCCAGCCCTCCAATACTTTTAAAATGATTCTGACCCCGGGGATTTGCAGATAAGGCCAAAGAAAGAATTTTCAAGCTCAAGTACTGAAGTGAATCATCCATCAACAGTTCTTTCAAGCTGAATCTTCTACAAAGGCGCAACAGTTCTGTGGCAAATTTAAGTTTAGTGAATACAAAATGAGCCCAACATGTATTTATCTCTAACATGTCACCACACAAATATATTTTGGTAATGAAGGGTCTACAAAAACCTACATCCAACAACAATAACAACAACAACCGTGTCTTATCCCACTAAATGGGGTTTGCTATATGGATCAACTTTCGTCATAATGTTCTATCCAGGACCACGCTTCTATCCAAATCAATAATCTGGAGAAATACTTTATCCTAAAAGCATAAGTTATTTTGAAAAGCCTCATAATGTGTTTTATCTTGTATACACACACTTCAATGCGATAAGGGGAACTTTGAGCAATACTTACCCTGGCCTGGCCCCAATCTCCATGTCAGTGTTTAATCATAAATGGATTTTTCACACAAACAGTGAATGCACTAACATTTAAGGTTAAACTACTTTTTAAGTCCCTACAATTTAAATAAATTTCAAAAGCTTCCCTAGAGTTTAAAAGTTTTTAACAAGAACCTTATAAAAAAATCAAATAAACATCAATGGTGTAACTTTTTTGAAATTTCAATTATGTCCTACCAAACTATGAACATTTATAATCAAGTCCTCGGGACCTGTAACAGAAACCCAGAATAACCTACTGATGAACATAAACATATATTATGTCTAAATGGAAAAAATAACAAAAGAATAGGAAGCTATGCAAAAGTTTAACTAGAACTACAGACACCTATAGATTAGTTTAACCAACATTTAATAATGCATTTGTCGAATTCATTGTACCTTTCATGTGTATATGATTACCTAGTGCACAACTGCATATAATTTGGCAAGTTGGAAAGTCAACTGGCGAAACAACAAAGACCAAATCACCTCAAATATCTAAATATAACAGATGCCTACCTTACCTACTAACCAATTTAGACCACCGGCTTCCATCACAGACACAACTGCTTTCTGGCGCCAATGTAACCTTGCTTCAGTAGACAAAAGCTTTGAATTATTTGAGGAGCTGATTGCAGTATCAACACGTGAAATAAGGCCTACAAGACCGCAGAACAGCTCGTCCATTTTGTCTATATTTGAACCTAAGTCAATGAAAACATAAAATATTGACACAACATATATCAGAATTTGTTGGAGTAGATTAATTTTCTCCATAGCAAAGTCAGGCAAACTTTCATCAGCAGAAAGGGCGCCACTTATAGTTTTAAGTTGGACCACAGCCCCTGCAACCAATTGAACCCAGAGTTAGAATGGACTTCGCAATTATTGGCTTATAATGGGAAGATATTAGAATCAAAGAGTCAAAGCACCAAAGTCAATTTTTAAAATATAGGCTTCGTATAATGAACGGAAGAGTGGAAAATAGTATTTGGGAAGTGATACTTGTCAAAATTGGGAAAACCCCAAGTCTCACATAGGATAAAGATAAGGTCTGAAATGAGTTTATAAATAGTGGTAGCCCTGACCATACAACCCAAGTCCCGCATAGGATAAAGATAAAGCCTGAAATGAGTTTTTAAGAACGGCATTTCTCATCTTACAAGTCGGTTTTGTGATAATGAGTTAGGCCCAATATTAAAACCTAATATCAAATATCTTAAAAATAGTTTATTCGGTAAGTATGCCAATTTGAACAAAATGGATAAGAGTACAACGTCCATTAAGGTGAGAAAACAGAAGCGTCTGTTAAGATTTAACAATGGAACACATAGGTCTAAGCCTTAACGTTAACAACCTAAAAAATGTTAAAGGATTAAAAAGAAAAACAATAGGAAAATATGAAACTTACACCAATTTTCAGAAGGAAAAAAATCTACAATTGTACCTAAAAGATGCACAAAAGTAATCAAAATCAGGAACAAAAAAAATTATTATACCTTTCATTAGTGCTGTAAGTTTTTGAATTCCACCATAGTATCCAAATACTCTACAATTGTATAACGAACGGGCAATGATTTTCAAGGCATCCAAAATTAAAAACCCTTCAGACGTAATATATGACTTGGTTGCAGCCCCAGATAATTCTGTTGGCAATAGCAAAGTGCCGGTGCTCACTGAAAATAACAAGAGTAGACAAGAATTGCATCAAATTACGTCAGCAGAAACAGTACCACTACTAGCAACAAAAATTACCATTTCTATACATTTAAGTCTATATCATTTAGTCATCAAAGAAATTAAGTATTGATTTATTTTTTAACTTGGTAAATGAAAAATTAAAAGTAAACTAAACAACCAATCCAGATAAAAGAAAATAAAGCATGTATCCTCCTTTCCTACATATGTTTCGTTTATCTTACATATAGATGGTACAGCCCTTTATAGATGGTATTAGTCCCAATTTCTAATTTTTATTGCATGTACAAAACTAGTTGGACTTGCTAATATGAATGTTAATTAAGAAAGAGAAAGGTGAATATAATACGAGGATGGCAATATGCATCTTACACTCAGTGACTAGTGAGCTTAACAGTGTGACCTCATCAACTAATACCCGAATGACTTCGACGGGATGTCCAGCTGAGCAGCCAATGACTGCATCATCAGTAGATGAAAAATTCTCAAGAGAAACAGACTCTAATAATATTCCTGAATTTACAGGTTCCCAGTCCTTGTAGACAACTACAAATTGCTTGATGAAAACATGAAGCAGCCTCTTTTTCTCCACCTAAAACAATAAGGTCTTTTTGTTAGGAAAATTACTAAATAAATGACTACTGTCATGAGGTGAATTCAGTAACGATCTCAACTGCAGCAATCCAAAAAATAATTTACACATAGATAATAGATAGATAGATAAATGGAAAACAAAGCCAACAGACTGAATAGCTTACATGACTTGAATTAAATGAAATTTGTCAAGCTTTGGTACATTATATATTTGGTAAGTAAAAACCTAGTAAGCTAAATCCAATCGTACCTTATCATCAACTTGCTGATATCGCTCCCAAAGAGTATTTACCATTGCCTCATCCCCAGCATCACTGGAAGAAGTCAATTCAAATGAAATCATTACAGATTAAATGTATTTTACCGGTATGGACACAAATGAATCTTGAAGTTTCTTCCTTTGGGAATCTCTCAATTTCTAACCCAAATCCGGAAAAAAAATTCTCGTACAAAATATATTTGATATCGAAAGCTCCGTCAAAGTTGAGCATTTTATATGGATATCAGCTATCAACAGCATTAACAAAAATAATTTACTGCAGATTTGCAAACCTCAAACTACCCTTTGGTGTACTGTACAACACACCTATTTTTGTATGCAAGGCAACCACCTCTGGAATAATTTGTGTCCCTTTACACAAGATCTGTTTTTTATGGTTCAGTTTAAATGATTTGGCAAGAGTAAAATGCCAAAATTGTGTATCAATATGCTATTCGGCTATTATTTGTGTGTCAAAAATACACATTTGCTTTCTCCAACCCCAAGTAAATCAAATGTCATAACTCTTGAATCGTGTTTGGAATTGGAAGAGCTTAATTGGTTTTATTTGATGACATGACCATGTAGGTAAGTGCTTGGGAGAGTTCATAAAAATAGCTTATGATGTACCCATAAGCTATTTTCAACTTATTCTAACCAAATCTTTTAAAAACTAAATTGAACTGGTTAGTTCAGCAGGTTGAATTGGCAACCGGCCAGTTCAACAGTTGGTTTGATCCGAGACGTGCAATAACCTGGTTGAACCAAGATTGAATCACTTTGAACCATGGTCAACCGGTTTTATTTTTTAGCATTTATTTATTTATTACTTTTTATACTTTCTGTTTATTTATTTGTCATTCAATTCAATTGTGGTTCAACCAATTAAAGCACATCCTAGAGATTTAACCAGTTCAATCTTTAGTCTAGTTTTTAAAATATTAATTATGATAAACTTTGTAAGAAAACTTATGTAAACAGTTATGTGAAGCCTACCCTCGCCCCATCGTTGATTTCCATCCACTTCAAATTCTACTTATAGTGAAAACAAATGATAATGCAAGTAGTTATTAATATGCATATCAAAAACAAATAGCTCAATGGATTAAAGTGAAAAGCTCTTATATGATAAGTTGCTTAATTAAGTACCCAAACGCCCATTTGAAAAATGAAAGTAGTATTAAATCAAAGACAATAATCATCCTAAGATTAGGGTTAGACCTAACTCAACTCCACAACAGTGTTATTAAATATCCGCCACCGTGGCGCTATGACGGATATACATGGCAGTTTTTGGGCTCTCCGCAATGGTAAATATCAGCCGATATTGCAGGTTTTTCTGCCATAATCAACTATAACGGCCCGAAAAACTACTCGATTGTGAAAGAAGGCAACCTCGATAATCAGCTAAACACTCAGTTCGTCACAAGACATAAAACTCAAATAAATTGAGTTATGTGCTTCCATCACATGCGAATAAAACAACATATGTAACACGTCAAATAGTATCGAGACATTTATAATTCAATATTGCAGTATTACCGCAGACACTAAGCTTACCTGAAGCGAAACTTGGGTCCAGGAGGAGAGAACTTATGAGCATGACCTGAGGATTCGCCACTTTGCCCGGTGGAAGTTCTTCGTATAAGGTCGGCGACACCCTTAACGATATTCATCCTTCTTCACCACAATCTATTTGCGAGACTTCATTAGAAAAACGGGAGTTCCAGCCATCAATCACTTCTCCTGAGACTAAATTATAAATGTGAAACTACACAATCTAGTTGAGTGTTGCACGGTGTCTGAAATTCACAGATGCTTTAAACAAACGCTGATAGCTATGACAAACACCCATTCAAACCTAAAACAAAAATTAAAGCGAAATAAGTTGGAAAAAAATCAGAAAATCACCATCAATTTCTCAGTTCTCACTCTAACTTCAACCATTCCATTTTCTCAGCTTAATCGAGCTCAATCATAGACATATTTCAATGATTCTGTAAATTTCCAAAAAAAATGAACGAATTCAATTATACTGATGAACACAATCAGAAAAATCAACAATCGAGAATGAGTATACCTGATTAGAAGACGGAAGAATCGATAAATGAAGAGAATATTGAATGTTAGGGTTTGTGGATTGAGATCGGAGACTGCGATTCAACTGTAATCTGTTTGTAATAGCGAATCGATGATGAAATCAGGAGAAATCTTGATTACTGCAAGAATTGGAGAAATGCGTAATAGAGAGAGGAAAGTGTTGAAAAGAAAACTCGGAAAGTTAGTGTAATTTCGGTTTTACCCTGGGATGGGTTTTTCCCTAATGATTTTTTTTTTACCGTGTTTTTTCCACTTTTCCTTTTCCACTCTAACAGGTTGCGAAAATATACACGATAAGGGGGAGCATAAGATGAGCTACCAAATTTGGTTTAATTACAAAACTAAATAAATTAAATAATGATATAGTAGTATTTATCATTTAAATATAAATTAATAAAAAAATTGTGTTAGTACGGTCCTGTCTGGATTTCATATTTCATGGATTTAATTTAGATTTATAAAGATCATCTGTATATATCAATGAAAAGGTAATATAATTCAACCAAAATTTTTTCAATTTTGAACCAAAAAGTACATCAAACAAATGAGTTAACATTTAAGCAACTAATAAAATAAATAAATTTTTCAGTTTTATAAGTCTGGATGTAAGCATCTTCATGGTAATAATTTCATTGTTGAACTTCAGATATGAAGAAACCAGCCAATAACAACAACCCACAATAAGATATCAATGATTCAAAAAAATTTAAAAATATAATGTATTAGGTGATTGGTTACCAACTAACAAATTGATCGGAAAACCTCATTGTATACAACACTTGTTATGGTAGAAGGGGGTGGATTCTCGTTGTCATGTATTAAGATTTTAAGACCACTTTTGATTGTAACTCTTGAAATTACCACATACAATTGTCCATGACTAAAAACAGGAGTAGACAAATTCAATCTGACGCTATCAAGCGATTGGCCTTGGAATTTATTAATTGTCATTGCGTAGGAGACAATGATCGAAAATTGTCTCATAATCAACTTAAATAGCGACGGTGACTCAAAAGGTGACATAGACATTTGAGGGATATAAATGATTTTACCTATGTTCTTTCCAGACATAATTTTTGTCTCAATGACATAATGTGTTAATCTTGTAACAATTAATCTTGTTCCATTGCATAATCTATCATTTTGGTTCAAATTTCTCATTAGCATAATTGGAGTCCCAACCTTCAATTTGATCATTTGATTTAGTAGACCTAATGTTCTTAGTTTACTAAGAAATTCTGGAGTTAGAACTTCATACGCTTCATTATAACTTGTATCAATTGAATCAAAACTCAAATACTCTTTTCTTCTCCTAAAAAATGCAATAACATGAAAATATCAATACATTAATAAAGTCAACGTGATGTACTCATTTGTTATATATATATATATATATATATATATATATATATATATATATATATATATATATATATATATATATATATATATATATATATATATATATATATATATATATATATATATATATATATATATATATATATATATATATATATATATATATATATATATATATATATATATATATATATATATATATATATATATATATATATATATATATATATATATATATGTATATATATATATAACGTTATTTTACCCGGTATCATGTCCAATACATAATGATTGATTTTTTCCACAACTTCAAAGGTTGAGGCAAGAATTGTTTTTCCTTGTAAAAAATGCAACATTTTGGAAATTTTCCAACAAATTAGGATATGTGCTTTCAACTATAGCTTTTATAGAATTCTCAAAATTGGATATTAATAGTTTTTGAGGAATTTCTATATCAGCCAATCCATCATTTAGATCACATATCTTACTATCCCCAACATCTAATATCCACTTAGAGAATTTTGCTAGTTCATTAGAACTTGTATTATCTCTTCCCTATTGAAGTCTCGTATTTTTTATTAGTGTTAGAACCTGACAATAGTCCTATACATAAGATGAGCAGATGGAAGCATGAACAATATCAGAATGTCTTGCTCTTGGAACATTTGGAATAATTTGTCAAAAATCTCCTCCAAAAACAACAATTTTCCACCAAAAATTATATTTGCATGACCCTTTTTGCTCATGACATCATTAAGGGTCTTATCTAATGCCTCGAAGCAGTTCTTATGGCCATAGGTGCTTCATCCCATATTATGACATCGATTGCTTTAAATAAATGTGAATGTTCGGTGTCTTTGTCAATATTGCAAGTAGAGTTGCCAAGTGTTGGCACGGGTATTTTGAATTTTGAATGGGCAGTTCTTCCGCCTAGCAATAATAACGAAGTTATGCCACTTGAAGCAACAATAAAAACAATTTTTTTCTCTGAACGAAGTGCACTTGATAGTGTTTTCCACATGATTTTATTTGTTGACAGCTTCCATGATTTTATCAAAGATTGAATGTTGTTCATCTATAAATTATAATGTAAATATTTATTAGTCTATCACATCAAAAATAAATAGTTTTATGTCACTGTATCATAATACAAATATGCACAATTACCTGTTAGGGCGGTAAATAGATTATGTAAATTTTCCCGTTCAGTATCAACATTGTAATCATGTTCGTCATAAATCAGTCTATTGTTCACGTGTTGTGTGACATACGAATCTGGATAAGGCATATCTTTAAATTCATGCAAACTTTTTCGATTCGATTACATCATATTCTCAATCTCAATTAGTGTCAGGTTTTTTAACTCAGTGGTTTACAACTGCATATCTATAAAAAAATATATAAATTAACAATTCATATACACCATCATGATCATGGATGTAAACGTAATTGTCCAATTTATAGAAATTGTGATCATTATAACACATTAATGCTTTTGGAGAATGAAAATCAAAGTTCACGAAAATACAACAGCAAATTAAATTACCATTATATTTACGGCATCAGCATAATAATATGGGTATACATAGTGCACTGACATCATTTATATTGCAGCTTCAATGTTGCATTGAGTTGTATACAGGGAAAAGTCTATAGTTCATTATAAGCTTATATACTTTATTATAAATGTATACAATAGTTCCCAATATAAGTACAACGTCAACATGGTTTTTTATTGTTATTTACAAGAGGATTTTGTATGTAAATTAACAGTGATATATAAGTATAACAGCAACACTAAGTAAAACTTGTACATCTTCTATTTGTCGTCTGTCTTTGTTGATAAAGAATATCGTCAGATAAAGTCCTCCAAGTTATTTCCCAAACATATCATGGTCTATTAATTGTACAGGATAGTAGTATAGTGACAAATAACTTTCTAAAAAAATATCTAGAACCCCAATCCTTCGCCTCATTTATGGCTGCAACGTATTTCTTGTCATGGTTAAAAAATCTCATTTCGAAGCATGCATCTCTAAAATTGTCACGAACTATTCCATTCACTTTTTTTATATTCTCATAGCAAGTTGGTCCCTTGATAACTGTCAGCATCATTATAAGGTAATACAACTCAGAGGTATTTGGAGGAACCCAAATTATTCTTCCAATGATACGACCTCTTTTATGTGGTTTTCATCGCCGGTATCTTTTATCATAAACAAACTTGGAAATAAAAGCAGAGTATGTCAAATTCCTTATCTCTGGATATGTGTTGTTTGCTTTCATCCAAGTTGTAAATATTGATTCTTTCACACTTGGTTTGTCAAGAACTTCATCTATCAGTTCATAATCAGTATAGTGAACTGGATTGTCGCCATCAAGATGAAAATACAACCTTTCAACGAAAGGAGATCTCCCATGAATAGGAAATAAAGAGATCCTCCTATCATGCCCCAAATTTGCTTGTCTCTGTGATACGGTGGGAGAAATGACTTGGGATTTTGCGTTTGTATTCGCAAATGTTTCAATTTAGCAAGAGTCGCCACCGACTTTTTATTTTATCCTAAGGAAAGGTCAAAAAGCACAGGAAAGACCTTTGAGATGTTTTCTTGGGTTCGGGGAGTAGATTATAGAAAGGGAAGGTATTAGCACCCTTTTTATCCATGGTTATCCATGGGCTCTTAGTTACTTGCTTAGATCACTTGCTTTGCATTTCTATTGTTTGAAATGGTGCTTTTCAATTGTTTGAAATGGTGCTTTGTGTGTGATTTTGGAAAATGTTTTTAAAAGAGGCCATCGTTGTGGCAACCTTTGTAATGATTCTTGTTTGAATGTATACAAAGGTGTTTTTGTCTTTTGAAAGGTTTTCAATGTTTGAAAGTAGGGTTTTGAAATTGTGTTGTGGAGTGTGTTTTGAAAAGTAGCAAGGATGTTTTTGCAAGCTTGATCAAGTAACTAAGAGCTATCTACCCTATTTACTCAAAGATCTTTCTTATGTTTTTAACCCTTTTAACAGTGTTGTTTCACCATTGCATTTGGTGAACAACCTTGTGTTAGGATGTTAACGGGACAGGCGCGGGTCATCGTATAGACCATGATAGCAATTGTGTCAAGTATCTTTGGCAATTTTCTTGAGGGACTTGATCATTTTGTTTAGGCAACTTAAATAACGTCATCGAGGGACTATGATCTTTTTGTTTGTTTTTGTTTTGCC